TTGAAAGAGAAAGAAAATAACATAAATTTAAAGCTATCGGCTTACTTTTTCTAAGCATTTTAAGTCTAAAGAGGGAAATGGAATTTTGAAAAGCTTTACACAGTCAGTAATATGTTTTTTAAAAGTGTCATTAATACATATATATATATTTATTTATTTATTTATGTTTTTTGAGACACAGTCTCACTTTGTCACCCAGGCTGGAGTGCAGTGATGCGACCTTGGCTTACTGCAGCCTCCATCTCTCTGGTTCAAGTGATTCTCCTAACTCAGCCTCCCAAGTAGCTGAGATTATAGGTGCCTGCCACCTTGCCTAGCTAATTTTTTTTTTTTTTTAAGTAGAGACAGGGTTTCACCAGTTAGCCAGGCTGGTCTCTACCTCTTGACTGCAAGTCATCTGCCTGCCTTGGCTTCCCAAAGTGCTGGGGTTATAGGCATGAGCCACTGTACCTGGCCTAATGTATTTTTTATAAAGACAAAATGTTAGATTCAAGGTGGCATTTTGAATAACCACAGATCAAGGAAGACTGATATTATGAAAGACAGAAAAATGGGATTATATTTGAGAAAATATCTGTAATAAGGCAATCTGTAAAGGATTTGAAGTACATTTCCTAATTTCAGAGAGGCAAAGGAAGGAACTTCATCAGTTAAGCAAGAAGAGGGAATTTTTAAACTGACAGTTATGAAAACCCCAATTGGAACTTCTAGAAGTGAAAAAGTATAATTATGAACTAACTAACAGATCTGAATGGTGGACAGACATCAGCTGAAGAATGAATCCATAAACTGAAAGATTTTACTGAGTTATTTTCCTGGAATTCAGCTCAAAGAGATAAAGAAATAAAAAGTATGAAGGAAATACTAAGATAGAGAGGGTAGATCCTGAAGTTAAAACTGCTAAGAACAATTCTAGAAAGACACCGAAACAAAGACAATGTATAAAGTAATAGTGGCTGAAATTTCTCACAATTTAAGAAAGGGAGCTCTCTAAACTGATATCTTAACATGTCATAGTAAAACTTTAGAACATTAAAGATGAATAAGAAAAAATCTTTACTCCTGTTGAGAAAAGAAAAAACAACAGATTACCTACAAAGGAACAATAGTGATACTGGCTATAATAAGATAATGGAGGAGCATCTTCATAGTGCCAAGGAAAAGTAACTGTCAACCTAGAATTTTATGCCCAGCTAAACCATTACTCAAGTGTGAGGGGAAAAAATTAAAACACCAGAGGCAAAGGACTCAAAGATTAACAACTGTGCGTGAATTCTTGCCAAAAGAACTTCTAAATGATGTGCTCCAAGAAAAATGTACCTTAAAAGAAATAACAAGCCTCCAAAAACAATGATAAAGAAAATTGGTAAAACATATTGATAAATCTGAATTAATTACTGATTGGAAATAAAATAAATTGGTAGAAAATCAATGTAGAACTAATTTTAGAAGATGACAGAAGAGAAAGACAGAAGACAGCATGAGTATGTGTTTGAGAGTGAGAGAGAATACAAAGAAAATTGAAGGGGGTAACTCCTAGCAAAATAGAAATGGCATATACAGCAAAATAATAGCAGTAGAGGGAATAGGACAAAAAGAAACTTGAGGAGCAAATAAACAGAACTAAAGGGAAAAAATATATGGAAATACACCGTGATAATAGAAAACACAAGACTGAACATATCAATCATCAAGTTATGCTCCATTTATAGAGAGTTACACTTAAAATAAAAATACATCAATAAGTTTAAAGGGATAGAAAATGATATACAAGGCAAATCTGTCATTTCTCATCTGAAGTACTGGACTAGGCTCCAATCTGCTTTTCCTCCTTCTACTCCTGCCTATAGCGCTCCCCTAACCACCTCTCCAGCTGTTTGCCACTCAGTAGCCAAAATGATCCTTCTAAAGAATAGTTAAGTTAAACGACTAGCCTTAACAACTCTTTTTTCAAAACACGCTTACAGAGGCCCAAAGGGCATTCTGTGATGTGGCCTTCCGAGGCTACCTCTCTGATCTCTTTGATGACCACAGTTCCACCTCAGTCACTCTGAGCTACTCATCTACTCACACTGGCTGTGTTGCTGCTTTACAACACACCAGTCACTTTTCCATTGCTGGGGTTTGTACTGTCATTTCATTTAGATACCTGTTCAGATGTCATCTCCTAAGAGAAACCACCGTCTCTAGAGTGTCACTTCCATCACTATCCGATTGCTCCCCGTTTTTTGTGACACTTAAAACTATTGGCCATAATAGACATATCACTGATTTATTGCCTGTCTCTCTCACTAAAACATAAACTTATTCAGATTAAGAACTTGAACTTACTTACACTCTATTCCCTAGAATGGTGCCTGGCACATTGTGGGTATTAGTTCATATTTGTTAACTAGGCATTTTATATTGATAGATAATATTCCATTTTTAAAAGGAAGAAGCTACAAGATTAGCTGGTCCAAATTTTTATACTGATAACTTGTAGAGCTGAGGTTGAATGAAATAAATACCAACTAAAATAAAACTGGTAAGTAGTATTGATAATCAGAAGACATAGATTTCAGGACAAAATAGATTTAAAAGAACAAATAGAGGCCGGGCACAGTTGCTCACGCCTGTAATCCCAGTACTTTGGGAGGCCGAGGTGGGCAGGTCACCTAAGGTCAGGAGTTTGAGACCAGCCTGGCCAATGTGGTAAAACTTCATCTCTACCAAAAATACAAAAATCAGCTGGACATGATGGTGGGCACCTGTAATCCCAGCTACTTGGGAAGCTGAGGCAGGAGAATCACTTGAACTTGGGAGGTGGAGGTTGCAGTGAGCCAAGATCACGGTAGTGCACTCCTGCCTGGGTGACAGACTGTGTCTCAAAAAGAAATAGCCGGGTGCGGTGGCTCACGCCTGTAATCCCAGCACTTTGGGAGGCCGAGGCAGGTGGATCACGAGGTCAAGAGATCGAGACCATCCTGGTCAACATGGTGAAACTCCATCTCTACTAAAAATACAAAACATTAGCTGGGCATGGTGGCGCGTGCCTGTAATCCCAGCTACTCGGGAGGCTGAGGCAGGAGAATTGCCTGAACCCAGGAGGCGGAGGTTGCGGTGAGACGAGATCTCGCCATTGCACTCCAGCCTGGGTAACAAGAGCGAAACTCCATCTCAAAAAAAAAAAAAGAAAGAAAGAAAAAGAACAAATAGAAATGCTTCATATAAATTAAAGCACACTTTAGCAAGTTCTTAACAGTCATGAGTTTGAATGTATCTGCAATATAACTTCTATATGTTAATGGGAAAGAGAGCAAAGATTGACAGAACTCTGAAGGAAAGAAGGAAAATCATGTTCATAGTAGGAGACAAGGCAAGAAGGCAAAGTAATCAAAGAAACTTTTTTAAAAAAGTGCTCAGTTAATGAGCTCAGTCATAATAGCTATATGTTCTTTTTGTACATATAATACATGAATGAAAATACACCATGCTCAAGGCCACAAAGGAACAAAGTTATGCAGAATATATATATTTAACAACAGCAGAGCTCCCAACAAATTAATGAGATAAAGCTGCATGAATCATGAGAAAAATAGGTAAATTATATGAACAGGTAATTCGGTGAAGATACACAAATGTCTAAGACCATAAAAGGATGCTAAACTTCACTATTAGTGACCTACAGATTTGCAGATTAAAAAAAAAAAAACAGAATGGTACCATTTTTTATGCCATCAAATAGTAAATATATAAATGGTGTAAAGTTGGCAAAGTTGAAGGTTAAGGAATGCTCTTAAATTCTAATTATGGATTTGTAAATAGCCATGGCTCTACAAGGTAACTTTGCTTTATCTGTTAAAATTACATCTTACACTTTAAAATCTGCCACTTTACAGGCAATCCAAGAGGAAGACTGATTTAGTGCATCTGGATGGACCCTGGACTTCATAGCCTTAAAACTATCATGGGGAATTCTTACCATGGAAGTTTGAATAACACTTTAGTAGACTGTTTTCTCCCACATTTAAAGGTGTTTTGAAAGAACAATAGTTCTACTGAGTTAGCAGATTTAACAGGAAGATAAAAGTAATACAGTATTGGGGAGAAAGTCTGTATGTGTTTTATACATTTTATTTATTTATATATATATATAGTAAGAACTGATCCTGCTACCCTTGCAAAAATCTTTTAGAGGAAGCCTTTCAACAGTAATCACTAAAGAGTAATCTTTTTTTCTATTTTTATGCAATACATGTCATGTCTAAAATGTTAACCTATTGTTAGAAAACAGTATAATTACCTGGAACTTTGATTTTGTAGTAGTGGACAATTGACACAGCCTCTAAAGAAAATATTTGCTATAATAAGAGCAAAGAAGAAATGTAGAGACTTTCTAGTTTTACAGTGTATTCAAAAACAAGTTAGTGGTTTTTCCATTGCCTGTCAGTGCATCAAATCCAAGCATACTACCATGGAATTCAGGGTTGTTATAATCTGGTCTCTCTACAACCCTATCTTTGATTCCTCAAGATGAATTCCCTTCCATTAAAAGGTATACTCATTGTGCCTTATAAGCCCTCTCCTCCAACTTGAAATGTACTCTTTCTTCTCATCTAAATGGACTAAATCCAAAGCCCAGCTGAAGTCACAACCCTTTGGGGAAGCCTTTTCCATTCAGAACTACTGTGGCCTTTTAAAACTTTTAGCTTCCTTTTCATTCAACTCCTAATATTATTTAGGTTTATCCCTCTTACTTTGGTATTGTAATGCCTATTTTTGGCCTTGTTTTGTGTTTTATTTTAATATTATCTAACATTGATCTGTCTTGTCTGCTTAGCTATAATATAAGCTCCCTGAAAATTGCATTATTTATCTAGAGACTGGATAGCACATAGCAAATCTCAAGTAAAACATTTGCTGAATGAGTAGATGAAACGTGTTTATTGTAGTAGAAACAATGGTATATCTTTTTCAACTTTTATTTATTTACTTTTTGATTTTCTTTGTTTTTGCAGGTTAGAGTGTTTATATCTTGGAGGAAATTTCATTAAAGAAATCCCACCAGAATTAGCAAATCTGCCTTCTCTGAATTACTTGGTGTTATGTGACAACAAAATCCAAAGTGTACCTCCTCAACTTTCACAGTGAGTAGTTCTAAGCATTTGAATATAAACAGACATCCATGCTTAGTAATTATTGTCTTGCATTCTCTCACATGTTTTACATGTAGAAAAGAATTAGATATTTTCCAAGTAAATGATACATGATAATTATAGTTCTGAGGTTTGCTGTGAGCTGGATTGTTTTAATTTTACTTTTAAATACTCTGGTTTATTCCTCAAAAATAGTCTATTTTCTGTAATCAAAGAATTGAGTATTAATTTAGCATATATTTCCGTAGGTTTTATGATACTTTTAGTGAATTTATGTTTGATGTGGAACATTTCTATCCTAATTAGGCTTTATAATGTGAAGGATCTTAATTTCTGTTGCATTTGAAATCTTTCATTTTTTTAGATATCTAAATGAAAAAGCATGCCCACTGCCCACCCCAAATCTTCAAATCGAGCTTTTATGGCAGTTAACACATCAGAACACTCTCTAAGTTTTCTAAATTCTCCAAGATTCCAGGGACAAAAGTCCACCATGACATCTACAAATCTGTACTTTGATCTAGTTTTAGCACCTTTTAATTTTACTTCAACTGACCCTAATCTTAATTGCTCATTCTTAAGGGGAAATCAAGTTCTATATACACAGATATACCCAATGTTTTTGATAGTTATGTTGTTCACTGTCATTGATTTTTATACTGCATTTATTCTAGGTTGCATTCACTTCGTTCCCTAAGTCTTCACAATAACTTGCTGACATATCTGCCTCGAGAGATCCTCAACCTTATTCATTTGGAAGAGTTGAGTTTACGAGGAAATCCATTGGTTGTTCGTTTTGTTAGAGATTTAACCTATGATCCTCCAACTCTCTTGGAATTAGCTGCACGGACCATTAAGATTCGAAATATTTCCTACACTCCCTATGATCTTCCTGGGAATCTTCTTAGATACTTGGGTTCAGCCAGCAATTGCCCAAACCCAAAGTGTGGAGGTAAGTTAATTCAGTATTCATGTTTCCCACTCATTTAACTATTTTTTAAATTAATTAAGTCTTCTTTCAGAGAAAAGCAGTCTCTGTTTCTGTTCCCTTTATCCTTTCACTTGTTTATGAGAAAGTAAGACATTTCACTCTGGATTTTTAAAAAAAAAATTCTTTTCATAATATTTTAGGATTCATAGATATGGAACATTATCCAGGAAGTCTCATCCTGTCTTATCATAAGATAATAAATCAAAATGGTAAAATGAGAGGAAACACAAGGAAGTATAAACAGTTCTAATTGTTTAAAAAGTGTTTCTAAATGTTTGGACACCTCACCATTCCCTGTGTCAGATTTAACAGGGTATGATTCACTATGTATGAGAATGGGCTGAATGTGTGCCAGTTTCAGAATGTACCCAAAACTTTATATTCTTTTAAATCCATGGTGCAAAATGTCTTGAGTTTAGAGCATTTGGAGAGAATTATGCAAATGATATAAGGCAGAGTCAAGTATCCCAAGGAATTCAAAATGCTTCTGGAAATCAAAGGAGGGGGAGAGTATAATAAGATCTGGAAACAATGAGCTCATTCTTGAGGTATGAATTAGATTTTGATAGGATAAGATTCTAGATAGGAAATTTTTCAGATGGAGAGTGCAAAGTGGAGACAGAACAGTATGGGACAGAATGTTGGATGAGTAGTAATTTGGCCCAAATGAGAGGACAGTGAAAAGCTACATTGAGGCCAGGTTGTGAAGGGCCTGAAGTTCCAGAGTGTGTGGGTGAGAACTGGTGACTGATAGTAGGTTATTTTTACTTTGGCGCCCTCGTAAAAGACTACTTTTTAAAAAATCCAGTAGGTACTGAGGAAGTGCTGCATAATGATGATCAAAACCAGGTGAGACTTTTTCTGGCAGTCCCATCTTGTCTTAAAGCTATTACAAGGTTAAAAGGGAGAAAATTATTAAATTCTTCCAAGATTGTTAAAAGATTAAAAAGACACTTTGAGTTTAAAAAAGATAATGCTCTGGGTCATTTCTGGCCACTCACTCCTAGAAGTAGAGATTGCAGCACTGTGCCAAGTTCAAAGTGCTTACGCTTTTCTCTGTGATTCTCCATTCCTGAATTAACTTTCACAGTTGACAGAGGAAAACACATAGGGCAGCATTCATACCAGGTCCTTAGGCCTGACAGTCTAAATCTTTTCTTTGAATTCATATTTTTCTGGAAATGGGACCTCTACAGGAATTCCCTTTTCTCTCTTAAATATTTTCCTAATGACTTCTTTAGTATACTGCCACTTATCTTACAAACAAAAATGCTTTAAAAGTTACCAGCTTAAAGTTGATTGATCGTGGTGGCTCACTCCTGTCTGTAATTCCAGCACTTTGGGAGTCTGAGGCAGGAAGATCTCTTAAGCCCATGAGTTTGAGACCAGCCTAGGCAACATAGCAAGACCCCATCTCTACAAAAATAAAAACATTAGTTGGGCATAGTGGCATGCCTGTAGTCCCAGCTACTCAGGAGGCTGGTAAGAGGATGGCTTGGGTCCAGGAGTTCAAGGTTCCCATGAGCTGTGATCATGTCACTGCTCTCCAGCCTGGATGACAGAGTGGAAACCCTGTCTCTTAAAAAAAAAAAATTATCAGTTTAAAATTTGAGATAATTTATGAAATGAACCAGTATATACTTTCCCACTCAAATTCATTAGTTATTAAACTGTAACTTAAACAAAATTACTTTTATATTCTTGGAGATATTTTTCTTTTTGTATAATCTGAAATCTTACAAATCATAAGATAATGTTATACTGCTTTAGTGCATGGTAACTCCCATAATGCTTTGCTTTATTTTATTTCTTTCGTCTATTTTCAAGAAACTAACACATTTGGGAGGATTTATTATCAGTCTGTGATTGACCAAATTATTGAATGTATCTGCCTTCCTAAATTGTTCGAAGTAATATATCACAAATTTCCCCTTTTTTATACTTACTACAACATCAAAAACTACATGGTTAATTGAGGTATCAGGAAAGAAATAGAAGTAGAATTTACTGTTTTTTCTTTGCTTGGACCACATCTTTTAATTTTGGTCCCTTTTGTGGTAAACACACAATATTTGGTGCCAGAAGAAACTTAGGCAGAGTATACAGGTTGAGATTCCTCTCCAGAGAAGCGATGGGACCAGAGTTCTAGATGTTCTGGTTATACTGCAACCATTGTGACAGTCTGTGTGTGTTAAAGATTTACAGTATCATTTTGAGGATCAACTAGAATCCAGAGGCACAGCAACATCTGCTTTCCTCTTAGTTCTAGTTCTGTTTTTACTCAGCTGAAGGGCCATAGTTGAGGAGCACTAACTAGGAATCAAAAGGGCCAGATAGTACTTTCAGTTTACCTGACAATGTATAATTGTGTGAGAGTCAAGTGAGATTATCAGTGAAACAGATTTGAGGCCTGTAGATACAGCCTTTGGAAATGTAAAATGGCATTTTATTTCTTTCAGTTTTGCCTTCCCAGTACATAAGAACAGAGGTACCAAAAGTCATCCCGTTTCTGCAAATTTTTGTGTACTTATTCTTTAAGATAATTACTAAAGGAATTTTTATTTTTATTTTGTTTTGTTTTAGTCTCCTGACTGTAGAGTGGTACCAAGGGGATGGCTTGGGTAATAGAGAAGGGACACCTCAGGTATCCTAAAATCTCCATCAGCCACTGCCCCAAGTCTCCCAGAGAAAAGAAGCTAGGTACGCAGTGTCCTTTCTGTGCCTGCTCCCTTTATGATAAATTTCCTGGTTACCTCTTTGCAGCCAAGTTCTACCTTTAAGACCTTCCAGTAGGCTTATAGACAGCTATGCAAACAAGTACTACTTCTGCTTAAGATTCATAACAGAAGATGGCGTATGACATTTCTCCAGAACACTGGAGAAAGGGCTGAAAAATTGGTTTCTTGCTTTGTAATGATTACTTTGTATTCCTTCTTTCTAGGAGTCTACTTTGACTGCTGTGTCAGACAAATTAAATTTGTGGACTTCTGTGGGAAGTATCGCCTCCCACTGATGCACTACTTGTGTTCGCCAGAATGCTCTTCCCCTTGCAGTTCTGCCTCTCACAGCTCCACATCCCAGAGTGAATCTGACTCAGAAGATGAAGCTAGTGTTGCTGCACGCAGAATGCAGAAAGTTCTTCTTGGTTGAACAAGAGTGCACAGTAGTGTGAAATAGTTAAAAACTGAGCAAAGATGGTTAGAAAAGAAAATAGAGCTTGAAGCTCACTAGAAACCTTATCTTTGTCTTAAGTGTTCATGAAAGAGTCTGGGATGATATAAAACATTTTGTGTTTCATCTACCCATTCAGCAGGAATGAGTCTAGTCCCATGTTTAGATTCCTTTAATATAATTTATTGTGGATGATAGTTCCACATTTGGCTGATGGTTTGCAGTTTTCACTCAAGTTTTGTATGAATCACAAAGCGAATGGCACCTTCTGAAGAGCAGTTCTGCAATAAGCCATGAGTAGTATAACTTGTGGCAGTTGGGATGGAGAAAGTGAGAAATTATCAAAGCTGTAATTATCAGAGTTGCCTTTGTGTTTAGCTAGAACACTATGTATCATATATACTATATATACCATATATATATTATATACCATAAACAGGATTAACCCTCCCTTTTTTTATTGCCTGGATGTCCAGATTACAGAACTATTCAGAGAAGCTCACAGATGTTTACATAGGACCTAAACCTTTCTGACAAACTAAGTGGTAAAGTAAGGCATATAACATTTAAGTGGGATATTAAAACTTCTTAGTTCTTCTCCTTTGTTCTATATGATTGCTGTTAACTTTATGTAATCCAGCAATGACTGTTACAGTGCCTTAATCCAGCATTGATATAAAAATGTATTCAAGAAATAATGTCAGAGCAACCTATAACCTAGCATGCTATACAGAACACCTTAAAATATTCTTTAACAGAACCAGTTAAATAACTATATATCTAATATCTGATCTCATGGCTCTCTTAACATTTTTTTGTTTAAATGTGTAGTCATCCCTTAGAAGCACATTACTTCTACACTTAATGGTAGGCCACAATCTTAGTCAATCTGTTTATCATAAGACAGAGTAAGAATTTTTGACAGAAAATTCTGTAAGAGATATAAACTGGAAAAGCTTCTTTATATCTCGCATTAAATGGGTGGAGAAAAATATGACTCTTGCCCATGGCATGTATGGGACCATCTTTCTCTGCTTTTTAAAGAAAAACTAATACAACTAGAAAAACATCACAACAAGCCAAATAAAAATGGGGATAGGAGTCATTGTCTTTATACATAATAGAACAGTTTCCAGAACTACTTTAACCATGGAAGCATTTTAGAAAATAAAGTATTAATAAAATAGAAAAAATATTAAATGTGTCCTTAATGTATAGTAGGAAAATAGTTTCACAAATTAATTGCTATTCGAAATTACCAAATTTTTATTAACTAGTTTAATATGCAATACAAATTGAATAATAGTACAACTACAAGTTGATAAAATGTAAATGCTTACTGGTAATCATTAGATAACTAATAATAACATGATTTGTTGGTAAATGTTAAAAATACAGTAAGAAATGTTAAATATACAGGTTAGATAGGCATTAGAACATCAGGTGATAACCTTTTCTGATTTCTGGCATTCATGGCACACCATTTCTTAAAAGCAAATTGTTGTATAGTAACATATACATATATTAGGGTTTTTTCATATATGTTTTGTATTTTAGAAGAAACTAGTATAATTCAGGGTTTATATGTTTATTTTTATGTTAATTCATGAAACATGAGAGTTTCATGAACTGCAGAATGTGAAACGCTGCTATAGAACAAATCCCTTTACCTTGACCTTGTTTTAATGTAGTAAGATTTTGTATTCATTTTGATTCAGAAATTTTCTGCGTCTATAGAAGTAATCTTATATGTTCCTACTGCCTAGAAGAGTGATACATAGGTGATTATATCATAAAATAAAGGTATAGTCTTTGTTTACTTCATGTGAGCCACAGCAAGCTGCAGACTATACAGTTATAAAAGGAAAAGATGACTTAGGCTGTGCCTAAGTGACAAATATAAAATGTTTTGTAAATAAGTGACTTAGCCAAGATACATAAGATATTTTCATAGAAAATAATGTATTCATAATAAAGTACTCAAATTGATAGGATCAACTTTTTCTGGCTTAAATGTGTATGCTTACTTCCTAATCAATTACCAGTTTGACCTAAGTAACTGCTTGAGTCGTCTTCTAAGAGTTAGTCTTCATAAAATAAATGGGTAGGTATGTAAATATATAACCTTACATACCCTTTCCAGCTTCCTAGAAAGAAGGTCTACTGCTCCATCTTTTACAGATGTAAATAGGTCCAACCAGACACAGTTTCTGGCCTTTGCATATAAGAATATAGATGTACACTACAGTATTATTTCAACAAAATGTGATGGTTCTATGTATAGTTGAAAAATCTATGATCCGTGTGCAACTATCTTTGGTAATTTTTAGTGAAGTCTGTGTTATAGCTGTCAGTTTTATCTTTCTTAAAATCTTTGACCTAACCTTTTGTAAGAGGAGCTAATGATTTCTAAGATTTTCCTTTCTTTTTCCTATCTTTCCTTTTTTTGAATTAGAGAAATTAATCTGAAGTCAGATATAAGGGATTTGATTATCTAGAAACCAGATAATCAGCTCCCAAGTCATATAGCTAACTACGTGTTGTCAGCTTCCAAGTCGTATACCTAACTATGTATTTAAAATAACAGTCTGTCTCTTTAGTTCCTAAGTCATATATTTGAGTTTAATTACAGTAAAGAAACTTTAATTGGGGGATTTTAAAAGACAGAATCAGCAAAGTCTAATTTAAAAAATTTTTTGATATTGCTCTACTTGGACAATTTTAGTGACCAAAACTATGGATAAAACTACTTAAGCATAACATTAATATATTTAGAATGGCATCATTCAGTGCTAGTATTTGAAATTGAAATTAGTACATTGTGCATTGTTAGTAGTCTATTCCTTGAATCCATTCGTTCAGCATCACCAAACTGAGCTGGTGAGAGTGCTAAGATTCTAGGAAATAGGAAGATTAGTGTATGATATATTGATTCCAGTGTGCCAGGGATTGCCTGACATTAAGGACCAGCTGGCCAGGGTCCTCAGTATTCTAATACTTGAGTAGTGGAGGTAAATCCAAAGGCGACTGGTCATATTTTACTAATGAATGTGTGATGAATTGTCTCTTGTTCAAAAATTTTTGATATTTAGAGCTTCAAGTTACCATATTTAAAAGTAAAGACTTGGCTAGGGTGTGGAGGCACACGCCTATAATCCCAGCACTTTGGGAGGCTGAAGTGGGTGGATCATATGCAGTCAGGAATTAGAGACTAGCCTGGCCACCACGGTGAAACCCCATCTTTACTAAAAATAAAAAAAATTACTCTCTGTAGTGACACGTGCCTGTAGTACAGCTGACTCCAGAGGCTAAGACAAGAGAATCACTTGGACCTGAGAGACAGAGGTTGCAATGATCTGAGATCATGCCAGTGAACACCAACCTGGGCGAGAGAGTGAGACTCTGTCTTAAAAAAAAAAAAAAGACTTGCATTGTAAATTGTACCTCAAATTTGAGGAACTTTTGTGCTTATGTAAAAGTAAAAATGAGTCCACAATAATGCGTTATAATACTGAACACCAGTTCTACCAGATTCTGTAACTATCAGATTTAAACAAAAAAAAGGAAGAGGCTGATTGCTAGAGTGTTAAAGAAATCTTTAGAAACCATCATCCTAGAAGAGAAATAACCAAACACCTAGGGACAGTCCTAGGCCAAGAAAGCCCTTTAAAGTAATAGTGAATTATTTTAAAAATTAAATTATTAAATGGCCTACTGACTACCATCCAAAAGCCCTTATCACAAAATTTGTTCAGTGTATTGGGTTGTTCATATCCCTCCATAATTAAGGGCCATCAAGTAATAATAGATCTTATAGCCAACTTTGTTCTTCCCAAAGGGAGAAAGTCATACCTCATTAACCTGGAATTTGTGGTAAAACAGGTACCATTGGTTAATGTTTACCTTTTCACTATGTAAAAAAGAAGACACACTAAGCAAATAGTACAAATAAAATTTGATCTTTTAAAGCATTTTAGCAGTAGCTATTTATGTAAAAAGTAGTTAGTGGTTATTTCTAAATTTTCACAAGATGCTTGGTAGACAAAACTATCAGTTATGTATATATAAAGGTTAGTTAAGCCGCATTTAGTTAGAAACATTTAATTTTTACCAAAATGATTCTTTTCTTACCCAAAAGTAGAGCTTTTATTATGTCATTATAAATATTATTCCCCATTTAGTCCAAAAGAATGAGCTTTTAAATTGTGCCAGGTACTTAAAATAGTAAAAGTTATTGTGTAGATTTTTTAATCAATGTGACCTATAATGCAGTTTTGATTCTTTCTGTATTGAATGTCCCTGTTTCCATATTAAGTACTATGGCCTGTATAACATTAATTTAATAGTCTACAATTTTGGGCCAGGCACAGTGGTTCACACCTGTAATCCTGGCACTTTGGGAGGTTAAGGCAAGCAGATCACCTGAGGTCAGGAGTTCAGTATCAGTCTGGCCAACATGGTAAAATCACATCTCTAACTATACAAAAATTAGCCGTGCTTGGTGGCTTATGCCTGTAGTCCCAGCTACTCAGGAGGCTGAGGCAGGAGAATCGCTTGAACCTGGGAGGTGGAGGTTGCAGTGAGCCAAGATCATGCCATTGCACTCCAGCCTGGACAACAGAGCAAGACTCCATCTCAGAAAAACAAATTGCGTGCAATCTTGTATTTTCATAGTCATACCTTTTTAAAGGTATCAGTGATTTCACTTGTGGTCAGGAAGTATGTGCCTTAAATCCTCTAGACCCAAAGTTTGGAGAGCTATATTATTTAATAGGTTGTTTGGGACAGCTTTGTTACCTTTTTCATTTAACTTGAGGGAGAAAGACTGTGATCCTGAAAAATTTCTTCTCAGAAAATTGCCTAATGTACATGAGTCTAGAGCTCCTGGGGAGGGAACCTCTATCATGCATTCTGTCCCAGGATGTCAAAACCGTAAGGATCAGGGTCCCCTGAAATAAAATCACTGGAAAGGTATGTTCTCTTATATATTATTTTAAAAATTTATCTGGTGCCACCAAAGAATAACAGCAATTTCTAACCAACTTCATATTTCTAGCATCATATAAAGATACTGTAAGGCTTTGCATATTTTGCCATTGGTTTTCTTTGTAATATAGGTTGAAGGGGAGACATGTTTGAATACTTTTGTATGTAAATATCTCCCATTCTTTTTCTATCTCTTCATGGTCTGTATTTACTAAAAATTGGCTTAAAAAACTGTTCACTAATGAACTTTGCATATTATTGAACACTCACAGGGTAATATTGATTTGGGTGCTACTAGACTTTTACCTAACATTAGTCTTTCTCAATAGTTCTCAATAGTTCACCCAGTAAATATTAAAGTGTATTAGTTTAATGAAGGTTATTTATATACTGTCATATCACAAAGCTATGGTGGAAAGAACATCTGCATTCACCAGAATGTCCTTTGTTCCTTTGGCTGTGACTAAATTGGATAAGACTTTTATTGTAAGTTCCAGCTATTGGAAGATATGGTGATAAGATTGACATTGCTGTTGCAGTCTTACAAAAACATGACTAAATTGGTTAATTATATCTACAACTTATGTTTAAGAGAATCCTTTCACTAACTTAATTGTTAACATTGTTGTGATATTGAGAAAGAGTATGAACCTAAACAGTCACTTTACAACAATTATGTAAGGACTGTGTGCCTGCAGTTGAGGTTTTTTGTATTTCTGAGCCCACTTTGTATTCATGAGAAACAAAAACATAATGGGAGAAAAGTTTTAAATAACCAATATTGTAAGTTTTCATACAGTTTGGGATTTCAAAGTATTAACGAATGATACTGAAAACATACTTTTTCTTTGGTCAAATTACTTTTTATGATGTGATTTCTTTATTTTCTGTATTTGAAATCTTGTGAATTAGGAATATCTACATCTATAGATAGCTGAAACTGGTAAAAAGTGTAATTCAGCAACATGATTCAACAATTTTTACTTTTAGGATGTTATCATTTATTGTATTAGTATCAAATTTATATATTGCCTTGTAATGCTAAGTGCTCTAAAAAGAATATTTAGACTACTTCAATTCTACCATCTTCTTCCCCCTCTCCCAGAACATACGTGTATTAACTAATCCTCTGTGTGAATTTTGCCATATCAAACATTGTGCCTTATTTTATTAAAACTTTTGTTGGAATCCAATTCTATATTAAAGTCTCTATAATGTTGATATTTGCCTGATTACCTGTTATATCACTGAATGTAAGTATGTACCAACATTTACTCTGCTAGATGCAGTGGATAAAAGATTAATTACACTTGTCTGCTAGTCTTTCTTTTGCTTCCACAATCTCAATAGACTTATGGATGCATGCTCTAATAAGAAATTGGTGAGATTATCTTGCTAAGGTCAGTTATTTCTTGAATTGACAGAGTACTACTAGACAGAGTACTACAATACAATAAATACTGAATACTCAGTCTTAACCCAGAGTAGTATAGTTGGAACTGAGCATGTTGACATTATAGCACTTCATATCAGTAGTTTATAGTGTCATTATTTTGGTGATACTGGAACACCTGACATTTTTCTAGATTCCAGGATATGGAAGAATATTGTGGTTGTGTTGGAGTAAACAGAGTGGATAGGAAGGACATGTACTTTGCAAAACAGCTGATGTTTCAAATGTGCTAAGATGGACGAAGCTCAGCACTTCCTTGGTTGATATAGAGGACTGTGATATGGTTGGCTGTGTCCCCACCCAAATCTCTAATTGTAGCTCCCATAATCCCCACGTGTCATGGGAGGAACCCAGTGGGAGGTAATTGAATCATGGGGCAGGTTTTTCCTTGCTGTTCTTGTGATAGTGAATAAGTCTCACGAGATCTGATGGTTGTATAAAGGGCAGTTCTCCTGCACAGGCCTACTATTTTAAGATGTGCATTCACCCCTCCTTTGCCTTCCACCATGATTGTGATGTCTCCCCAGCCATGTGGAACTGTAAGTCCATTAAACCTCTATAAATTACCCAGTCTCAGGTATTTCCTCATACAGTATGAAAATGGACGAATATAGGCAGTTTATTGGCAAAGGGAGGCTCAAGAAATTTGAGGGAGAAGAGAAAACACAGAGTGTAACTCTGATCTCTCCCCTTTCTTTATTATTTTTTTTGAGATGGAGTTTTACTCTTGTTGCCCAGGCTGGAGTGCAATGGTGTGATCTCAGCTCACTGCAATTTCTGCCTCCCGAGTTCAAGCACTTCTACCTCAGCCTTCTTAGTAGCTGGGATTACAGGCATGTGCCACCACACCCAGCTAATTTTGTATTTTTAGTAGAGATGGGGTTTCTCCATGTTGGTCAGTCTGGTCTTGAACTCCCAACCTCAGGTGATCCACCTACCTCGGCCTCCCAAAGTGCTGGGGTTATAGGCGTGACTCACCACACCCCACCTCTCTTTCCTTTCTTAAAGGTAAAACTGTTCTCTAAACAACCCAGTCTCCTTAGAACTTGTGCCACAAGAACATTTTATTCCTCAGTGACTTGTCTAATTCTTTGTAGATACCAAATAGCCAGAACATTTCTGGAGATATGTATGATGGGTATGTTCCATCCATCATACCAGTCACTTCTAGCTTCATGAGCAATCTGTCAGCATTCCATAGAACGTTAGAGCTAGAAGAAACTTTAGAAGTCCGAAATTGATTCACTTGTTTGGAAGATGAAAAAAATTCAAACCAAGAGAAACTTTTTCTACAATCTATATGGCTGAATCTTGAATCCAGGCTTTAAAATTTTCACTTCAAGACTTGTTTCTGGCCAGGTGCGGTGGCTCACGCCTGTAATCCCACCACTTTGGGAGGCTAAGGTGGGTGGATTACAAGGTTCAGGAGTTTGAGACCTGGCTGGCCAACATGGTGGAACCCCAGCTCTACTGAAAATACAAAAAAATTAGCCAGGCCTGGTGACGCACACCTGTAATCCCAGCTACTCAGGAGGCTGAGGCAGGAGAATTGCTTGAACCCAGGAGGTGGAAATTGTAGTGGGCTGAGATCATGCCACTGTATTTCAGCCTGGGTGACAGAGTGGGACTCCATCTTAAAAAAAAAAAAAAAAAAGGACTTGTTTTTGCTACAGGATGCTGCTTCCTTTGTTTACTGTGCTATAACAGGAAATCAGTAACAGTACTGGTACTACTGGTAGTCCACAATAACAGGCCTACTAGCATTGAAGTGATGCAGTCTGCACTATATCTCAATATATTCTGAATTTTAGATCTGGTGATGACTTTAAGAATAAACATCTGGGTACCTCTTTATTTTTTTATTTATTTTTTTCTAATGAATGAGAGGTTCTTATGTTGCCCAGGTTGGCCTTGAACTCATAGCCTCGCCTCCTCAAGTGCCAGGACAACTGGCCCGAGCCACCGCGGCTCCCTGGGTACCTCTTTAAAACGCATTCAAGAGCCTATCTTATTTAATCGTCATGACACTGTGAGGCAGAACTAGATTTGGTGAAGCATGTTCATTTGGCTTATCAAAGCCTTCCCCCTTCCACTGTTTAAAATCAACTAAGAAATTGACATTGACCTGAGATATGGAACAAAACACCAGTTTTATCAAATCAGAATTGAGCTTTTTATATTCTTCCCCTTAATTAAACTGAATGTAACCGACCCAAATCACAGGCTTCCCCTGCGAGGACTGAGTCTACCCTTGGATAGTATTCTATACAACTGGCCAGAACAGAACATACTACTTTGGGCAGACAGATCCAAAGGAGCACAGGTCAATTCTTAAACCCCTTAGTGCTGCCCAGTAGAGAAACTAGACCAATTATCTTCAGTCTTTGGCCATCTAAGCAGATTAATTAGTCTTTCTCCCACAGGGAGGAAAAAGATGTTGGAAAGGGTTTCCTCTGGGCAGCTATTTTCAAGCCTGGCTGAACAATCCCATCTACAGATCATGGATATGGTATGGAGGAATCTTTCTGGAACATGATCAGACCCCCACCTAAGTCATGTACCCCATGCCTACTTCATGAAACAAGATCCTTTAACATATAATTTCTAGAGCCATAAGACTTTAAAAGGGCAAGAATTTTCTTTACTGGGGAGTTTGGTTAGTAGGCATCTATGCCGCCGCAGCTCCCGACCAAATAAAACACCACTTCCTTCCCAGTTCGGTGTTCGAGAGGTTTGTTTGTGACCCCTCCTGCTTTATTATTTGGTTCCCTGACCGGGAAGTGAGTTTTAATTGGTGGACAGTCGAGACAGCCTTTCAGGCAATTTTGCCTTGCCCTGCGGAGCATACCTGCGGGAGACTCCAGATCACTTGGGTGACATAATTCTTGAGAGCGCTCCCGGGCAGGTATTGGCCCCAGTGGAACGCCTCACCAGAGCAAAGCAGGAAAGCCCCTGCAGTGTGGATCCACCCAGTGGCTGAACACCGAGAAAGAACGGGTACCTGGAGTGTCCAGATGACAGAAACACCGTAGGATCAATCCTGGGAAACTTGCCCACCTCCTTTAGATGGAAGTGTGGCCTGATCACCCATGTGTGCCAGATTTGGCACTCCTGAACTCGGCCCCCCCCCCCTCCCTCTCTCTTTCTGTAACTAACCTTGAAAATCTTGTTTTTGGTTTCAATTTGGGTGGAGGGAGGAGTGTGATTGTGTGAGTAATTGGAGGAGTCCAGTTGGACTCACTAGCCATGAAATGTGGGAACGGCAGGTCCGTTAGGGCCACAAGCTCTGGACATATTGTGGGGCTGGCTGGATTAGGGGTGATCTGCATTCGGCTAGATGGAGGTGCTCTCAAAATCTAGTATTGTGAAGGGATTAACAAACTCTCCAATGCCAAGCAGTGTCTGAAACACTCCCTGAAAGGGAGACAATCCTACTGGCCTGAAGCGAAGGTGGAACAGAAAGTGTGTCTCCTCATATAGGGTGGGGGAAACTGGGGGAGGTGTATGATTGTGTGAGTGATTAGAGTGGTCCAATTGGACTCACCAGCCGTGAAATGTGGGAGTGGCAGGTTCATTAGAGAGGGCCCTAAGCTACTGGTAAATTGTGGGGCCATTAGATTAGGAACGATCCACATAAGGCTAGAAGGAGGTCCCGTTGCAATCCAGATATTGTGAGGGGATTAACAAACTCTCTGATGCCAAGCGGCATCCGAAACACTTCCCGAAAGGGAGACGATTCTACTGACCTGAAGTGAAAGTGAAAGAGTGTGTTGCATCGTGCACGGCAGGAGAAACTGAGGGTGAAGTAAAACTCTCTTTTCTTCCTGTGAATACTGTTTTTCTGTGCAAAAATGTGGGTCACACTCATAGCAAGCCTACTCCTCTGGGGACTATGCTGAAAAATTTCGATAAGGGATTTAGTGGGGATTATGGAGTAACTATGACACCAGGAAAGCTGAAGACTCTGAGGTAGACTGGCCAGTATTTGGGGTGAATTGGCCCTCAGAGGGAGCCTAGACAGGTCTCTTGTCTCCAAAGTATGGCATAAGGTTATATGCAAGCCAGGACACCTTGATCAATTTCTGTACATAGATTCATGGCTGCAGCTAGTTCTAACCACCCCCCCCCCACCCCCCACAGTGGCTGAGAGAACAGGCAGCAACTGTACTGATGGCAAAGAGACAGGCAGCTAGGAAAAAAACCCCATTCCACCTGCCGAAGGACACAGACTACTAAGGTCCTGGCAGATCCCACGGTATAAGAGCTTTTGCTGATGATACCCCCTCCCCCTGGTCTGGAGGAGGGACTCCTCGCCCCTGGGCCTGAAACCTCAGCACCCCCGCCAGAATTGCACACCCCTAAACCACCCAGGGTAGACAAGAGAGAATGTGGAGAGACTCCCATAGCCATCCGCTTCCCAGGAGGAACTCCTCATATAGCAGCCAGCCTGTGACCCAAGGCAGGGGTGCAGAAGCCTTTAAGAGAGCAGAGGTATACAGGAGTGGATGAGGATGGCCCTGTGATGGAAAGGTGTGTTTTAACGTACCTCTAATTCACCTCAGCTGATCTTATCAACTGGAAAAATAACACCCCATATTATATGGAGAATTCACAAGCTCTCATTGACCTATTGCAAACTATTGTCCAAACTCATAACCCCACTTGGGCTGATTGCCACCAGCTGCTTATGTATTTTATTTGAATTTTTTTTTTAAAGACGGGGTTTCATTATGTTGGTTAGGCTGGTCTTGAACTCCCAACCTCAGGTGATCCACCCGCCTTGGCCTCCAAAGTACTTTTTAGTACTTACAGGTGTTAGCCACCACGCCCGGCCCTTATGTATCGTTTTAACACTGATGAAGGGTGGAGAGTACTCCAAGCTGCTTCCAAATGGTTGAAGGAGCATGTTCCAGCAGATTACCAGAACCCCAAAAGTATGTCAAGGTCCAGTTACCGGGGACTGACCCCCAGCGGGATCATTGTTAGTTTAGCAGCATTTCATCCTAGCTGAAATATGGTAATGAGATTTAAAAAAAAAAAAAAACGTTTTTAAAGGAGCTCAATGGTTAAAAGCCAGCTTAAAGGACTAACATCCAAGATGTGTGCATGTGTGTGTGCGTGTGTTTGTGTGTGTGTGTGTGTGTGTGTGTGTGGCCTTCACGTTTTGGGGTTTTTGTTTGTTTTTCTGTCCTAAGACCTTGTCTTTTTGTTTGAGCAAAAGCTTTTTTTCTCAGTTAACTGAATTGTTTTCACCTGTTTTTTGTTTGTTTGTTTTCTAAAATAGTTATTGCAACACAGGCTAGTCTTGGGTTTTTAAGGAAGAATGTAGTTTAATTTTATGTTTAACTTGACTCAAAGAAAAATAAAAGTGTCTCCCGCTAGCACCACCAGACTTTTTCCTCTCTGTACTTTATGATGTAAATTTTGCTGTTTGATTTTCACCTGAGTTGTTTCCTTTAATGTGCAAATTTAAGGCTATTTAACTGACAGCTGCCTAGGGTTATGAAACAGGTTACCAAGAATCTGAAAGTCTAAGATAGGAAAAAAAGGGAGGGGGGTCGTCTTTATAAATGTATAAAATGTACTTTCATTGGCATGCCTAATATGTCTTTATATATATTTACGTGTTGTGTACAGAATGTTCCACTACTAAAAATATAAAAGAGCTCTAATTAACTGGCTTAAAAAAAAGTGCTTAAATTAGATACTGAAAAAAAGACTAATCAAATGCTTTTTCAAGTTTATGTAACAAGTAAAATCTTTCATAAATAAGCTAGATTTAAAAATATTCATAGTGTAATATTAGAAATGTCTTAAGAACTGCCCAGCATACATTTTTGTTTGCATTTATTCATCAAGCAATTTCATACTTATCCCTGCCAAATACTATAAGGTGTCAAAATTTGGCATAAAGTTTACAAAAGTATAAACCCAGCCCAAAACAAATGATCTTCACTTGCATAACTTTTAATAAATAAGACATTGATAAGTGTTTAATGAAAGTAGCTGCATCTTGAATTTAGTAAGATTACCATAACTTCTAATCCTGTGGTTTTAGGCAGTCTGGTTCACAGAAAATAAGGAGGTTTGTTTTGGGAAAGGACTGTTATCTTTGTTTCAAAGCTAAACTATAAACCAAGTTCCTCCCAAAATTAATTCGGCCTATGTCCAGCAACAAACAAGAAGAACCTGGAGGTTAAGAGTAATATGAAGTCAGTTAGGTCAAATCTTTTTTTACTGTCTCAGTTAAAATTTTGGAATAGTGGTTTAATAACTTTAAATCATGACAATCACTGTTTTCATAAATAATCTAGGTAAACAAAACAATTAGGTAATGTAAGGTCTATTACCGAGTCAACATGAGGAAACTGAGGCCAGTGTAAGAAAATGAAAAGCTGAGGAGAACATCATTCTCAGCAAACTGACACAAGAACAGAAAATGAAATACCGCATATTCTCACTCATAGGTGGGTGATGAACAATGAGAACACATGGACACAGGGAGGGGAGCAGTACACACTGGGGTCTATTGGGGGAAATAGGGGAGGGACAGCGGGGGGTGAGGCTGGGGAGGGATAGCATGGGGAGAAATGCCAGATGTGGGTGAAGGGGAACACAGCAAATCACACTGCCACATGTGTACCTATGCAACTATCTTGCATGTTCTGCACATGTACCCCAAATGAAAAGCCGATTTATTCAGCACCTGGGCGAAGTTCCACGGTCTGGGAGAGGGCCAGAGAAGTGGCGCTTGACTTCTCAGGGCGTGGGATTTTCTGGGGAGTGGAGGCGATTGATTGGTTATTGGGGAAACAAAGCATAGGTGATTTAATTGGTTAGAGGGAGACAGGGAGTGGTTGTGGTGAGTTGCCATTGGTAGGCCGGCGGGACTACTGGTAGGTGGGTTGGCTGGGGACGTGATTGGTTGTTGGGGAAGCAAAGCATAGCAAGTTTTGGCGAGGTGTTTGGCCTTGGGCTGGGGGTTGAGCACTTAGTTTGGTGCTGAATGTAGATCTGGGTGCAGTAGCAGAGGTAAGTGTGGAGAATTCACGTGGAGAAGCCAGATGCTGAGTAATGTGCTCAGAATAATAACGCGATTATTATTATCAGGCGTGAGCAGGGATGGCCGTGTCCGTTTGACTCCCGGCAAGGCAACTGGCCTTACAGGTAATGTAATGGGATAAAATTCTTATTGACAAACTAGTCATAATTTAGAATATAAACTTAGATTAAAGAATAGGTATTTCATTATTTGGGTATTTTCCAATAAATATATAGAGAGTAGGAAAACATTTTTGCTAAAGAAAAAAAAGTGTGTCTTTTTTTAAAAAAAAGTTTAGCAAGTTTTGTCTAATTCAAAGCTTATTAAAGGTTATGTATAAAACAAGGTGAAAGGAATCAGGAATTTAAAAAGATGTAAAGAAAGTTGTAGGAAATAAGAATAAATAAAAGGTTCCTCTTCAAAGCTCTTCTCTTAGTTTATTATGAATAAATAATAGTTTCTTCAAAGGTTAATTTACTTGAAAGCTTTTGCTAGTAATCATAAAGTAGCTGTTAGTCATAATAAAGAAATAAGTGTATCCTGTGTTCTTAGTTCTTACACTTTAGCCTAGATAATTGCCCTGACATGCCTGGAGAAGCCCAGGCAAGTCTTAGGTCATAGCTTATTCCCCTGCCTTATTTGGAAATGTTATTGCTTCTCTGAGTATTCCTCAAGTTACTTCCTCTTTTCCTTTATTCTCCCATGCCTTTACCTCTTTAGAAAAGTTTTAAGTTGTTAGCCAACTGGGTGCAGCCTAGACTGAAGTCCAGTTCCAGCCAATAGAATCAGGACACAGCAGTAGGGCAGATGCATTAGATATAAATGGCCCTGCCTCCTTTGTTCAGTGTCCTCTCATGGCAAGATGGCTAATGGGAACACCCTTTCTGCAGAAAGTAAAGTTGCCTTGCTAAGAAAAATTAAATTTATATTCAGGTGCTACTTCTTTTGCGACTACAAAATTTACATATAACAAAAGTTATAAATATAAAGAGGATTTTGTTTTTGTTTTAGTTTTTGAGAGAGTCTCGCTCTGTTGCCCAGGCAGGAGTGCAGTGGCACAATCTTGGCTCACTGTAACCTTCGCCTCTCAGGTTCAAGAGATTCTCCTGCCTCAGCCTCCTGAGTAGCTGGAATTACAGGCCTGTGCCACCACACCCGGCTAATTTTTGTATTTTTAGTAGAGATAGGGTTTCAGCATGTTGGTCAGGCTGGTCTCTAACTGACCTCATGATTTGCCCGCCTCAGCCTCCCAAAGTGCTGGGATTACAGGCATGAGCCACCATGCCCAGCCGAGGTTTTTTTTTTTTTTTTTTAGGTAAAAAACCTTAAAGAGAAATAATTTTATATAACAAAGAATCTTGTATGGTAAATTTAGTCCTAAAATAAGATAACTGGTTGTTTAAAAAGGCGGGTGTTCAGAACAAATCAGAAATTCCGACCATGTCATGAACAATAAGAGGATTTATATATTTAAAAAAAAAAAACTAAAAACTTTTATATAATCAAGATGTCATTATTATTAAGTTTTGGTTTGCTTAGGGGAAAAAAGCCGAGATAAATTTTTTTTTAATTAAGGTTATTATATCCATGTATCTTTCTGTATGTGCTTGTAAAGTCCTTGTAAAATTGAGTTACAGGGCTTTAACTGCTGGGTCAAGAAAGGTCACCAAGTCATGCTGAATCTTAAACACTGACAGCAATTAAAGCCTCATCTTCAGGCCCCACAGAAGATGCCAATCAAACAAAATAAACTGCATTTCTGAGATGCAGGGCAAGGGATTAAAGCTATTTAACTCTTAAGGCCCAGGGACTATCACGGAAGAGGTGGGCATGTAAGATTGTAAGGGCCAATTTTGAAAGATAAAAAAAGTTCAGTTTCTCTATAAATTAATTATTAATGTCAAAGGCACACTGAAGCAAAATCAGTATATGGACCCCTGTGTCAGATTAACAAGGATTTCTTGAAGCATTAACCAACTTCTTAATAACTGTTATAAAAGTTATAAAAAGTTTATGGAAATTATATTTTATAATCAGTGTTAAATTTTGTAGATTGTTTACAAAATTGTGAAAAACAAATGTAATTGGCTTCATGCTATTTTTATTAGGGCTTCGTATTTAGAAAATTAAGTCTCCTCTCTCAAAGAATGAAGGTTCTTGCTTTTTTTGAAGTTCTTGAATTATTACTTTGGTTAAATAAATGACTTTACAATGATCTGTAATCCTATTTTGTAATATCAAGTGTTTTAAACCTTTTATATTTGATATATTTTCCAAAATCAAATTATTAATTGTGTCTTTTTCTAACCTGATTAATCCCTTAAGACATTAGTTTCCCCATAGTTACAACTATAATTTTAAGTATAGTGCTTTCCTGAATTATTTGTAGCCAGCTGGTCAGAGGTAAGGGGACCTGGGGACCCTTGAATTTGCAGCTACTGTCTAAAGTGAGGGCAGTTTGGTCTAACTCTGGTAGTTGGTGTTTGAACTTGAAGGGAGGGAGAATCTTTAGGCAGAAGCTGGGATGGTGAGTTCCAGTCACTCCTACCTTTGGGGAGTGTCTAGCTCTTTGACACAAAGGGTTAAGAAAATTAATTTCCATTCATGCTTATTACTAAAGAGTTGAGCAACCCAGAAAATTAGCAAATGGACTGTCCAACTGGAATGTTCTTTCATAGCTCTGTTCTATAGACTTGGCCCAATAGGCTACTTCTACAGTCCAACCGAAGATAATAGTTTCATCAAGTGCTGTAAGTTATTCAACTTTTTGGCCCTCTCTGAGAACCTAAAACAGTCCTTCCCTATGATAGATAATTAAAATAATAATAATAGTAATAGTAGTAGTAATAATAATTATTTTATTTTAGAGATGGTGCCTCACTTTGTCACCCAGCCTGGAGTGCAGTGGTGCAATCTTGGCTCTCTGCAGCCATGACCTCCCAGGCTCAAGTGATCCTCCTGCCTTAGTTCCCCAAGTAGCTGGGACTACAGGCATGCACCACCACACCCAACTGTTTTTTGGATTTTTTGTAGAGATGGGGTTTTGCCATGTTGTCCAGGCTGGTCTCAAACTCCTGAGCTCAGGTAATCTGCCCACCATGGCCTCCCAAAGTGTTGGGATCGCAAGCATGAGCCACAACATTTGGCCAGTAATAATAATTTAATAGAACTCAGGAAAGTCCATATATGGTCAAACGGCTTGAGAATCATCTATCTTATGGGTTAAAAAAGAAAAGATTAAGCCAACAATGAAGATGGAAAGGAAATGTGACAACAGTTTATGAAATCATAAAAAGTGTAAATGAGGCAACCCAGAGAGTGCTTAAATTACCAAATATTTAAATATTGAAGCAGGAAAATTTAATAAAAGCAGTATACACAGTGGATAACAGACTGAAATCGTGCAAACTGCAAATATCAAAAGGGTTTAAAGGAAACTCATGAAATATAAACTAAAATAGATAATTTCTTAAGGAAAAAGTAAAGATTCAGGAAATTTATCATAACTTTCTGAGGTCATGGAACAGAATCACGCATTTGTACAATATGTGCTTGGATTCACTCCAGAAGTAGTGGCCTCAGAGGAGATGAATGGCAATGACTCAGTCTCATCTCCTAAAAAAACGGGACTCAATTGCATCAGACTTGGCTCCGCCTGCTTAGGATTCTCTGAGGCTCATTCAGTTGCCCAGTCATGTTGGAACTCTTTGACCTGCCCTCAGTTGTCAGTTTACACACCCCAAAAGAAATCATTTTAGTCTTTCTTCTTGGGTCCCTGACATATTTCCATTTCTACTGGCACTGTTGTGTACTCTGGTAGGGAGGGATACTGAACAAGTCTTGGCAACTTGTTATTATTTATTAAGGAGTCCAGCTCCAGGTCAAAATCCAGATGTGTGATCTTTCAGGCCTGATCATAAGCAATTACTGGGCTTTGCCTGGCAGGCCTAATTGAGGAGAAGCTGCCTCCCCATACTACACTTGCACTGTCAGTGCACTGTAATTTTCTGAAGGGAATTGCAGTTAAGAACTCAGCCTGTCTTCTCCCCACCCAACCAGCCATGCTAAGATGCATATTCACAATCCTGGCCCTGGTGTATTCATTCACCCGCCTCCTTACTGGGGGCCTTGCTGAAGCACTTTTTTCCACGTTGATTCAGTACCTTTCTACTCCTAAACCTTCCCCCTCTCTCTCTCCCACTGGCTCTCAGGTCTATAAAGAGGTGGGAGACTTTTGTTCTGGGCTCCTTAACAGTGAGACGATTCCCTCCATGTATACAGCACTCACCTGAAAAGTTTTCAAAGTATGTACATTAACAACGTAAATGCTCAGCAATAAGGGTTGTGCAAATAAATTTTGGTACATTTATAAGATATAATACTATGTAGATATTTTAAATGATAATGGACATAACAAGAAATTGAGTACAGGTAATTTAAAGTGACATGTGCTCTGTATTTGCATTCATTTTTTTTTGAGACAGAGTCTTGCTCTGTCGCCAGGCTGGAGTGCAATGGCGCGATCTTGGCTCACTGGAACCCCCTGCCTCCTGGGTTCAAGCAATTCTTCTGCCTCAGCCTCCCAAGTAGCTGGGACCACAGGCACGTGCCACCATGCCCGGCTAATTTTTGTATTTTTAGTAGAGACGGGGTTTCACTGTGTTGGCCAGGATGGTCTCGATCTCTTGACATTGTGATCCGCCCACCTTGACCTCCCAAAGTGCTGGGATTACAGGCATGAGCTACCATGCCCAGCCTGCATTCATGTTAAAAAAAAGTATACAAACAATATAGTTATCAATGATTACCTTCACAATATTACCAGTGGTTACCTCTGGGTGGTAAAGTAATACATGTTTCATTTACTTGCCTATCTATATTTTCTAATCTAGGACTACCCAACCATGTATTATTGCTGTAATAAGAAAAAAACAATAAAAGTTATTTTTAATATACATACTCCTTGAAGGGGCAATTCTATATCTAGGAATTAATCTTAAATATAAAATTTTAAGCAGGCATGCAAAGATTTAGCTATAGTAATGTTTATTGCAAGGTTGTTTCTAATAGTGAAAAATTTTAAAATAACTCAATTTCTAGTGTTAGGAGTTTGGGGAAATAAATTTAATATATTTATAGATTATAAAACTAGGTAGCTAAATTAAATATTTAACGATCTTAAAAATGTTCATAATATCTTAATAGGTTAAACAATACCCCTTGACCCAGCAATTCCGTGAAATACTAACACAAATAACCAAGTGACACAATCTTGATTGTGTCATTTCAGTGAGAAAAAATAGAAGCTACACAAATTTTATCAATGGAGAATGCCAAAACAAATAATGGCAGATTCCTATAGTGAACTAAAACAACTGTTGGAAAGAACGACATAGATCTCTATGAGCAAATGTGGAAAATGTTTTGATATATTCTTAAGTGAAGATATATAGAAGGATTCTGAAGTACATCCTAAATTTTACATTTCTATACCATTTTAACAACTATTCACAAGCATCTATAACTTTTATAATCAGGAAAAAATTTTAAATATATGTTAGATGATATATGTATGTGTATGTGTTTATAATATGCCTATCTCTGAAAGAATATTTAGCAAAATGTTGACAGTGGTTATTTCTGGGTGGTGGGATCAGAGCCGATTTTTATTTTTTATTATTATTATTTTGAGATGGAATTTCGCTGTTGTTACCCAGACTGGAGTGCAATGGCACGATCTCAGCTCACCGCAACCTCCGCCTCCTGGGTTCAAGCAATTCTCCTGCCTCAGCCTCCCAAGTAGCTGGGACTACAGGCACGCACCACCATACCCAGCTAATTTTTGTATTTTTAGTAGAGACGGGGTTTCACGATGTTGACCAGGATGGTCTAGATCTCTTGACCTCGTGATCCACCCGCCTTGGCCTCCCAAAGTGCTGGGATTATAGGCGTGAGCCACCGCACCCAGCCTATTATTTTTGTTAATTCTATATCCTTTGAGATTTTTGCAATACATATATACTTTTATAACAAGAAAACTTAAAACTGATTTAAATGGAAAAACTTTAACATTTCTAAACTCATAGGCTTGTTCAGAGCTCCTGGGTTTCCGCTATGGAAATACAGCTTCTCACAGGCAGAGGCAGCTTAGTTAAAAGCAAAACAGACAAAGAAGCTCAGTCACGAAACACCACATATTTTATGGTCCCATTCATATGAACAGGGAAATCTATAGAGACAGAAAGTAGATCAGAGATTGCTTAGGGCTGAGAGTCTGAGGTAGGAACTTGGTGGGTGGGCAAGATGGGGACTAGAAGTTGGTAGCTAAATGGTGTGGGATTTCTTATTTTTCCTTTTAAAAACTTACTTTCTTTACGCCTGTTATCCCAGCACTTTGGGAGGTCAAGGTGGGTGGATCACCTGAGGTCAAGAGTTTAAGACCAGCCTGGCCAACATGGTGAAATCTCATCTCTAATAAAAATACAAAAATTAGCTGAACACAGTAGCACGTGCCTGTAGTTCCAACTACTCCAGAGGCTGAGGCCGTAGAATCACTTGAACCTGGGAGATGGAAGATGCAGTAAGCTGAGATCACGCCACTGCACTCCAGCCTGGGTAACAGAGGGAGACTCCATCTTAAAAAGAAAAAAAAAAAATGAAACAAAAAACTTATCTCCTTTTACACTTTATGCCATTTTATATTGGCAAGTATATGCTATGGTGGCCTAACATAATTTTAGATTTCAAGAAAGCTCCACAGCACCAGAGCCATGCTGCTTTATTATTCCTATTTTTCAGATGAGAAAACAGATGTTAGAGATAAGTAGAGAGTGTCAGTGGCATGGCTCACAAATGGGTGCATGCCCATGCTGTACTTCTGCAATGACTGTTAAGTATAAGCCCATGGAGACAGGCTACAGTCTTTCCAAAGTCCTCTTTATGATGTCCTGTTTTTTGGTAAATTGTGGTAAATATATATATATATATATATATATATATATATATATATATATTACCATTTTGACCATTTTAAAGTCTGCAGTTCTGTGGCATTAAGTACATTCACATTGTTATGCAACCATCACTATCATCCACTAAGAAAATAGCAACTATGTATATTAAGACAAGCAGGGTTGATCTGGGGATTTTATTTTATTTTATTTATTTGTTTGACGGAGTTTCGCTCTTGTTACCCAGGCTGGAGTGCAATGGCGCGATCTCGGCTCGCTGCAACCTCCGCCTCCTGGGTTCAGGCAATTCTCCTGCCTCAGCCTCCTGAGTAGCTGGGATTACAGGCACGCACCACCATGCCCAGCTAAGTTTTTGTATTTTTAGTAGAGACGGGGTTTCACGATGTTGACCAGGATGGTCTTGATCTCTTGACCTCATGATCCACCCGCCTCGGCCTCCCAAAGTGCTGGGATTACAGGCGTGAGCCACCGTGCCCGGGTGAACCGGGGATTTTAGTGGCTGAAATTAAATTAAATCATTTCAAGACACTGGCATCCTAAAATTCAAGATTCAAATTTCTGGGACAGGAGGTCTATGTGTTGTAGTGCAGGTTGTGCCCACTATTGTGGGTTTCAAGATCGGCAGACCACTAGAATTGCATGGGAGTGACAATGGGAAGCAAACATTTTCCAAATGAGTGAATTTGGGGCAGAAAAAAATACAAGATGACCACTAAATGGTAACCACATTTAGTGGTCATCATATATTTGTTAACCAGAATTTTATTTAACCAAAATGATTTATTTAACGTGATCATGCTAGATAATAATAAACAAAAAAGCTGTACTATAATATAAACACAACTATGTTTGTGCATGAGGCAATGTGAACTAATATTAACTAAGCATGGAATTAGGGCATAGGACGGTGTGTCATATTCTAGAATAAGTTGTGAAATACTGAAATAGAAGAATGGTTTCCCTAGAAAGCTTGAAAGTGCAAAGTCTGTTTTCATTTCCTAAGTGCTATATTGATTCTAGTTACAAAATAAATGTTACATTAGCTTCATGTCAACCTACATAAGTTGTAATGACTTGAAAAATTACAAGCATAGTGGGGAAAGTACTTGCAATATATAACAACATATTAAAGAGTTGCTATCTATAATATACAAGAAATTCCTGCAGGTTAGAAGAAAAAGACCAGTAGCTCAAAAGAAAAATGAGCTAAGTATGTGAATAGGCAATTTACAGAACACAAAGTTCTTAGGGGGAAAAAGACAAAACATGAGCAACTTAAGTAGTAGTCAGTAAAATACAAATTAAAAGAACAACAAACTACCACTATTCACTCATCAGAACGGCTAAAATTATGCAGAGCACATTGTTACAGCCTTTTCTTTTATTTATTCATTATTTTGAGACAGAGTCTCACTCTGTTGTCCAGGCTGGAGTGCAATAGTGCAATCTCGGTTCACTGCAACCTCTGCCTCCCGAGTTCAAGCGATTCTCTTGCCTCAGCCTCCCAAGTAGTTGAGATTACAGGTGCCTGCCACCACACCTGGCTAATTTTTTGTATTTTTAGTAGAAACAGGGTTTCACCATGTTGCCCAGGTTGGTCTTGAACTCCAGACCTCAGGTGATCTACCCATCTTGGCTTCCCAAAGTGCTGGGATTACAGGCATGAGGCACTTCACTTAGCCTGTTACAGCCTTTTAGATGCCAATCTATTAACATTTTAAATAGTCCAGTCTGATATCTGGTCATCAGTCCCTCAGAAATTAAAGTACCAGGGAATCTGGATATACATGTAAGGACAATTATTGAAACATTGATGGCAAAAGCTATTTAAAAAAAAAAAAGTTGAATGTCATAGCTAGGGGATCTCTTGAATAAATTTTGGTACATCCATACCATGAAACATTGCACAAGCTCTAAAATGAAAAAATGAGTTAGAACTTATACCAGTTGAATTGGAAGAATTGTTATGCCTTTTTTTTTTTTTTTTTTTGAGATGGAGTCTAGGTTTTTCTCCCAGGCTGGAGTGCAGTGGTGAGATCTTGGCTCACTGTAACCTCTGCCTCCTGGGTTTAAGCAATTCTCCTGCCTCAGCCTCCTGAGTAGCTGGGATTACGGGTGCCGGCCACCACGCCTAGCTAATTTTTGTATTTTTAGTAGAGACAGTGTTTCACTGTGTTGGCCATGCTGGTCTCAAACTCCTGGCCCGTGATCCACCTGCCTCGGCATCCCAGAGTGCTGGGATTTCAAGCATAAGCCACTATGCCCGGCCGATTATGACTTATTTTTAATGAGAAAAGCAAGAAGCAGAGAAGTATATATACTATGATAATTCATTTTGTAAAATAAACAAGAACAAAAAACTGATATAAATATAGACATATTAGCATGGAAAAATTAAGAAAAGCTATATATTGCTTAACCTGTTAAATAGCTGGGAATGGGGAGAAGCAATGAGGGGGAGAGTCAGGAAAGAAAAGACTAGAAAAGAGGGTGTCCAAAAGAAATCCAAGCATGCACAAAATGATTCCATCTGTGCATCTATGCATGGACATGTGCATAAAAAGATGCATGAAAATATGATAACTGAAACATTACCCATGATTAATGCAGGATGTGGAGGTTTATTCCCTTTCTTATATGTTTATGTATTTGCATTTTTTACAATAAGTACATGGTTTATTTACAATCAAAGGATGTTATTTAATTTTCTTTCTTTTTTTAATTTCAGATTCTACTTGATGATTGCTGGTATATGGGAAATTATTTAATTTTAAATGTATGTGTGGCCAATTGCCTTGGGGGTTGAAGATTAAAGAGAAACACATCCTGCCTTGCAGGCCCTGTTGGGAGAAAGGAGGACACAGCTGGCTGTAACATGTATCTGTACTTAGTGAGGGCTGGAAAAGGTGCAGTGCTGGGAAGGAAACATGAATTGATCCCACAGATCTGACTGGAAAGATCTTGAAGCATTTCATTATAGGAGAAGGTATTGGAGCTGGATCTTGGAGGCTCGGGATAATTCCACAGTTAAAGATGGAGATAAAGAGAAATCCAGAACAAGGGAACAGAGTGAGCAGAAATATCACAGGCATTAAAAACATGGGGTGTATCCAAAGATTGCGAATTGGCCCAGCTTGCTACAACTGGAACACCGGTGTTGAATGGACAGGAAATTGGAAAGGTAAGCTGATTCCGAATTGTGAAAAGTTGTCTTTATTTAAAAATTTTTTTAAAATTTATTTTTGAATTTTTATTTTAGGTTTGGGGGTACACATGAAAGTTTGTTACACAGATAAACATGTCATAGGAGGTTGTTGTACATCACCCAGGTATTAAGCTCAGTATCCAATAGTTACCTTTTCTGCTTCTCTCCCTCATCCTATCCTCCCCACTGAAGTGAACTCCAGTGCTTGTTGTTTCCTTCTTTGTGTTCATAAATTCTTATCATTTAGCTCCCACTCGTAAGTGAGAACATGTGGTATTTGGTTTTCTGTTCCTGTGTTGGTTTGCCAAGGATGATAGTTCCCAGTTTCATCATGTTCCTGCAAAAGACATATCTCCTTCTTTCTTATGGCTGCATAATATTCCATAGTGTATATGTACCACATTTTCTTTATCCAGTCTGTCATTGGTGGACATTTTGGTTGATTCTATGTCTTTGCTATTGTGAATAGTGCTGCAATGAACATTTGCATTCATGTGTTTTTATGGCAGAATGCTTTATATTCCTCTGGGTATATACCCAGTAATGGGGTTGCTGGGTTGAATGGTAGTTTTGTTTTTAGCTCTTTGAGAAATCTCTATACTGCTTTTCACAATGGTTGAACTAATTTACATTTGCACCAAAAGTGAAAACATGTTCCTATTTCTCCACAGCTTCACCAGCATCTGTTTCTTGACTTTTAATAATTGCCATTCTGACTGGTGTGAGATGGTATCTCATTGTGGTTTTGATTTGAATTTCTCTAACAATCAGTGATGTTGAACTTTTTTCACGTTTGTTGGCTGCATAAATGTCTTCTTTTGAGACGTGTCTGTTCATGTCCTTTGCCCACTTTTTAATGGAGTTGTTTGTATTTTTCTTGTAAATTTGTTTAAGGTCGATGTAGATTCTGGATATTAGACCTTTGTCAGATGGATATATTGCAAACATTTTCTCCCAGTCTATAGGCTGTTCACTCTGATATTAGCTTCTTTTACTGTGCAGAAGCTCTTAAGTTTAATTAGATCCCGTGTCAATTTTTGCTTTTGTTGCAGTTGCTTTTGATGTCTTTGTTACAATATCTTTGTCCATCCCTAGATTCAGGATGATATTGTCTAGGTTGTCTTCTAGGACTTTTATAGTTCTGGGGTTTACATTTAAGTCTTTAACCTATCTTGAGTTGATTTTTGTATATGGTTTAAGGAAGAGGTTCAGCTTCAGTTTTCTGCATATGGCTAGTCAGTTATCACAGCACCATTTAATGGGGAGTCTTTCCTCCATTGCTGGTCAGATGGTCAGCCTTATTTCTGGGTTCTCTGTTTTGTCCACTGGTCTATGTGGCCAGTTTTGTACCAGTACCATGTTATTTTGTTCAGTGTAGCCTTGCAGTCTAGTTTGAAGTTGGGTAGTGTGATTCCTCCAGGTTTGTTCTTTTTGCTTAGGATTGCTTTGGCTATTTAGGCTCTTTTTTTGGTTCCATATAAATTTTAAAATAATTTTTTCTTGTTCTATGAAGAATGTCATTGGTAGTTTTAATAGGGATAGCACTGAATCTGTAAGTTGCTTTGGGCATTATAGCCATTTTAATGATACTGATTCTTCCTATCCATGAGCATGGAATGTTTTTCTGTTTGTTTGGGTCATCTCTGATTTTTTTTTTTTTTTTGTATTTTTAGTAGAGACGGGGTTTCACCATGTTGGCCAGGGTGGTCTCAATCTCTGCACCTCGTGATCCACCCGCCTCCGCCTCCCAAAGCGCTGGAATTACAGGCGTGAGCCACCGTGCCCAGCCATCTCTGATTTTTTGAGCAGTGTTTTATAATTCCCATTGTAGAGATCTTTCACTTCTCTGGTTAGCTATTTTCCTAGATATTCCATTTTTGTGTGTGTGGCAATTGTGAATGGGATTGCCTTTCTGATTTGACTCTCAGTCTGGTTGTTGTTGGTATATAGGAATGCTAGTAATTTTTGTATATTGATTTTACATCCTGTAACTTTGCTGAAGTTCTTTTTCAGCTGAAGGAGCTTTGGGGCCAAGACTATGGGGTGTTCTAGATATGGAATCATGTCATCTGCAGATAGTTTGACTTCCTCTCCTCCTATTTGGATGTCCTTTATTTCTTTTTCTTGTCTGACTGCTCTTGGCTAGGACTTCTAATATTGTGTTGAACAGGAGTGGCGAGAGAGGGCATTCTTGCTTTGTGTTGCTTTTCAAGGGGAATGCTTCCAGCTTTTGCCCTTAAGTATGATGTTGGCTGTGGGTTTGTCATAGATGGCTCTAAGTATTTTGTGGTATGTTCCTTCAATATCTAATTTGTTGAGTTTTTAACATGAAGAGATGTTGAATTTTATTAAAAGCCTTCTCTGCATCTATTGAGATGATCACATGGTTTTTGCCTTTAGTTCTGTTTATGTGATGAATCACATTTATTGATTTTCTTATGTTTCTTATGATTTTCAAGCTTTTTGATGTGCTACTAGATTCACTTTGCTAGTATTTTATTGAGGATTTTTGCATCAGTGTTCCATCAGGGATATTGGCCTCAAGTTTTCTTTTCTTGTTGTATCTCTGACAAATTTTGGTAGCAAGATGATGCCTCATAGAATGAGTTGGGGAGAAGCCCCTCCTCCTCACTTTTTTGGAATAGTTTCTGTAGGAATGGTCTCAAAATCCTGACTTCAAATGATCCACCCATCTCAGATTCCAAAAGTGCTAGGATTATGAGGCGTGAGCCACCAAACCCTGCCTGATTTTTATTTCTTGTTTTCTGCTAGCTTTGGTGCTGATTTGTTCTTGCTTCCCTAATTCTTTCCATTGTGATGTTAGGTTGTTAATTTGATATCTTTCTAACTTTTTTGATGTGGGTACTATGAATTCCTGCTTAATACTGCCTTAGCTGTGTCCCAGAGGTTCTGGTATGTTGTATCTTTGTTTTCATTATTTTCAAAGAACTTCTTGATTTCTGCCTTAATTTAATTATTTACCCAAAAGTCATTCAGGAGCATATTGTTTAATTTTAATGTGATTGTATGGTTTTGAGCAATTTTCATTGTGTTAAACTTCTGTTTTTAATGCACTGCGTTTGATATGATTTCGGTTCTTTTACATACATTGAGGGTTGCTTTATGTCCAATTATGTGGTCAATTGTAGAGTATGTGCCATGTGACAATGAGAAGAATGTATATTCTGTTGTTTTGGGGTGGAGACTCTGTAAAGGTCTATCAGATCCATTTGCTCCAATGCTGAGATTAGGTCCCGAATATCTTTGCTAATTTTCTGCCTCAATGATCTGTCTAGTACTGTCAGTGCAGTGTTGAAGTCTCCCACTATTATTGTGTGCCAGGGTATCTCTTTATAGGTCTTTAAGAACTTGCTTTATGAATCTGGATGCTCTTGTGTTGGGTGCATATATATTCAGGATAGTTAAGTTTTCTTGTTGAACGAAACCCTTTACCATAATGGAATGCCCTTCCTTGTCTTTTTAAATCTTTGTTGGTTTGAAATGTTTTTTTTTTCTTTCTGAAATTAGGATTGCATCTCCTGCTTATTTCTGTTTTTTCATTTGCTTGGTAGATTTTTCTCCACGCATTTATTTGGAGCCCATGAGTGTCATTACATGTGAGATGATCTTCTGAAGACAGCAGACGATTGGGTCTTGCTTTTTTATCCAGCTTGCCACTCCGTACCCTTTAAGTGGGGCATTTAGCCCATTTACATTTAAGGTGAGTACTAATATGTGTGGATTTGATCCTGTCATTGTGCTGTTAGCTGGTTACTATGTTGGCTTGTGTGTATGGTTGCTTTACAGTGACCTGGTCTGTGTGTTTAAGTGTGTTTTTGTATAAGCTGGTAGCAATTTTTCCTTTCTATATTTAGTGCTCCTTTCAAGATCTCTTGTAAGGTAGGCCTAGTGGCAATGAAGTCCCTCAACATTTGCTTATCTAAAAAGGATCTTATTTCTCCTTCACTTAGGAAGCTCAGTTAGGCTGGATGTGAAATTTTTGGTAGAAGTCTTTTCTTTAAGAATGTCAAATATGCCAACCTGGCAATCATGGCAAAACTCTCTCTAAAAATAAAAAAATTAGCTGGGCATGGTGGTGGGCGCCTATAACCCCAGCTATTCAGAGGCTGAGGCAGGTGTATCACTTGAATCTGGGAGGCAGAGGTTGCAGTGAGCCAGGACTGCAACACTGCACTCCAGCCTGGGTGACAGAGTGATACTCCATCTCAAATAAATAAACAAAGAAAGAAAGAAAGAAAGAAAGAAAGATTGTTGAATAGAGACCCCCAATTTCTTCTGGCTTACAGGGCTTCAGCTGAGAGGCACACAGTTAGCCTGATTTGGATCCCTTTGTAGGTAAACTGCCCTTTCTCTCTAGCTGCCTTTAACATTCTTTCTTTGATTTCAACCTTAGAAAATCTGATAATTATGTGTCTTGGGGGATGATCTTCTTGTGTAGAATCTTGCAAAAGTTCTCTGTATTTCCTAAATTTGACTGTTGACCTCTCTATCAAGGTTGGGGACATTTTCATAAACGATATCCTGAAATATATTTTCCAAGTTGTTTGCTTTCTCTCCCTCCCTTTCAAGCAAGCCAATGATTCATAGATTTGGACTCTACATATCATCCCATACATCTCAGAAGTTTGCCCATTCATTTTTATTTATTTATTTTTTATTTTTGTCTGTCTTATTTCAGAGACCCAGTCTTCAAGTTCTGAGATTCTTTCCTCAGCTTGGTTTATTCTGCTGTTAATATTTGTAATTGAATTGTGAAATTCTTTTTATTGTAGTTGTTGTTTTGAGATGGAGTCTCACTCTACCACCCACACTGGAGTGCAATGGTGCAATCTCAGCTCATTGCAACCTCCACCTCCTGGGTTCAAGCGATTGTCCTGCCTCAGCCTCCCAAGTAGCTGGATTACAGGTGTGCACCACCAAGTGCAGCTAATATTTGCATTTTTAGTAGAGACAAGGTTGCCCAGGCTGGTCTCAAACTCCTGACCTCAGGTGGTCCACTTGCCTCTGCCTCCCAAAGCACTGGTATTACAGGCATAAGCCACTGCAACTGGCCTTTTTTTATTTTTTATTTTTTGAAATGGAGTAGGCTGGGCACAGTGGCTCATGCCTGCAATCCCAGCACTTTGAGAGGCTAAGGTGGGCGGATAACGAGGTCAAGTGATCGAGATCATCCTGGCCAACATGGTGAAACCCCATCTCTACTAAAAATTCAAAAATTAGCCGGGCGTGGTGGCATGCACCTGTGGTCCCAGCTACTCGGGAGGCTGAGGCAGAAGAATCACTTGAACCCAGGAGAGGTGGAGGTTGCGGTAAACTGAGATTGCGCCACTGCACTCCAGCCTAGCAACAGAGCAAGACTCCGTCTCAAAAAAAAAAAGAGATGGAATCTTGCTCTGTTGCCCAGGCTGGAGTACAATGGCTCACTGCAACCTCTGCCTCCTGGGTTCAACCAATTCTCATGTCTCAGCCTCCTGAGTAGCTAGGATTACAGGCACCTGCCACCACACCTGGCTAATTTTTGTATTTTTAGTAGAGATGGAGTTTCACCATATTGGCCAGCCTAGTCTCAATCTCCTGACCTCAGGTGATCCACCTGCCTCAGCCTCCCAAAGTGCTGGGATTACAGGTGTGAACCACTGCACCTGGCCCATATTGTGAAATTCTTGTATTGTGTTATTTAGGTCTGTCAGACCCATTAGGTTCTTTTTCATACTCTCTACTTCATCCTTTAGCACCTGTATTATTTTATTGTGATTCTTGTCTTCCTTGGATTGGGTTTTGCCATCCTCCTGAATCTTGATGATCTCTTTCTTCCTATCCATATTCTGAATTCTATTTCTGTTATTCCAGCCAGTTCAGCCTGGTTAAGAACTCTTGCTGGAGAACTGGTGTAATTGTGTTGAGGATGTATAATATTCTGGCAATTTGAGTAACCAGAGTTCTTGCATTGAGTTCTTCTCATCTCTGCGTGTGGATGTTCATTTAACTGCAATGTAGATTGAGTACAGTCAATAGACTTCTTTTCTGGATGTTTTCACTATGCTGAGGCTTTGTGTGTGGTCTTTATTGAAGCTGACTTCTTGTCTCTGGTTTTAGAGGTGGGTATGTTAGTGAGGTATTGTTGATGTTGAAGCTCTGGGGTGTAATCCTGCAGGTGACACTTAGACTTATTGGTCAGTTGGTAAACTGCTCCAGTATGCTTCTTCACAGTTGCAGCTGTGTTCCCTGTCAGTGCTCTGAAAGTGTGGGCTCCTCTTTCCACTGAGTGCTGGCTAGAGTTCATGACTTAGCACTCCTGGACTACCCACTGCATCTCTGGAGTCATCTCAGTGTTTATGTTCCTTTCTCAGCCTAGAGGTAGCAGAGGAAGAGATCTTAATAGTGATTGTGGCCAAGTGTCATTTGCCACAAGTGTCATTTCTCTGGGGGCTCTACCCAGAGAAATGCAGATTAGCAATTGCTCAGTGCAATCCGCACAAGATGGAGGGTTTGTGCTTTGGGCCCAACCCAGGAGCTCCCTGTCTGGTGAGGGGTGTGTGAAACCCATGGGGTATGGACTGGCCCCCTTTCCTTGTGTCTACTGCAGCTTGTTGGTATGGATAAGGCACTTAGGGTCTTTACTCCTCCTTTAGTCCGAGGGTGGCAAGGGCAGTTCCACAGCAGAGTCAGTGGCCGAGAGGCTTTCTGTTGCTCCTGGAGGCACTGTCCTGGGAGTTGCTGAGTTGGTACTGGCTGGACAGCTCTGGTGGGGGATGGCTGGAGGCCCAGGCCTGGAGGACCTGCCCAGTGAAAAGATATGGGAACAGGCATCCACAAAACAGTCTGGCCACTTTTCTGTAAGGCTGCTGTGGTATGCTTAGGGCCCGCTGTAGTCCCTAGTCACCTCAGATTTTCCAGAACCTGGAGATGTCACCAGTGAAGGTTGTGATACAGCAAGGATGGCAGCCGGTCCTTTCCCCTGGGAGCATTGTCCCAGGGAGGTATGGATCTGTTGCTGGCCGAAAGGCACCTGTAGGAAGTGGTTAAAGACCCTGGTTGGGAGGTCCCACCCAGTGAGGAGGAACAGGATGGGACCACTTAAAAAAGCAGTCTGACCACATTTCTGTAGAGCAGCTGTGCTGTGTTGGGGGGCCACTTCAGCTCCCAATCACCTCAGACACTCCACAGCCCAAAGTCTGGAACAGCTAAGTCACCCAGACAGCAAAGACAGCAGCCCACACTTCCCTCTGGGAGCACCATCCCAGGGGGAATTCAGATCTCTGCCAGCTGAAGAGCTCAGGTGGGGGAGACTGGAGGCCACGGTTGGGAGGTCACACCCAGTGAGTAGGAATGGGATTGGGCACCCACTTAAAGCAGCAGTCTGGCCATGTTTTGGTAGAGTAGTACAGCTGTGTTGTGCTGGGGTATCCCTATGGCCCTGGGTCATCTCAGGCTCTCCAAACCCTGAAGGCTGGAACAGCTAAGTCTCCTGAACAGCAAAGATGTTTGCCTACCCCTCCCGTGGGAGCTCCTTCTTAGGAAAGTGCTATGTCACTACTGGTAGCTGGCTACAATTCCAAGCCAGTGGGTCTTATCTTGTGTGAGGTGCTGTGGAAGTGGGCCCTGCGGGCTGTTGCTGCTCAGCCCCCTGGATTCAGTCTCTTTTCTAGGGGTATGTACAGGAGTCTAAACTCCCACTTTACAGGAGCTGCAGCTACTTTTGTCAGAAAGCCCAAGTATCTAAGGCACCAGGGTCTTCATGCATGCCTGAGTGGCTGCTCTGCTGAGACTCCATGTCTGCCAGACTGAAGACTGAAGGCCCTGGTGCTGGTGGAGTGAATTCAAAGAAGATCTCCTGACCCAAGGGTTGCAAAGATATGTGGGAGAAGCATGGTTTCTGGGGTTGCTCGTTCACTCACCGCTTCCCTGGGCGGGGGAGGATCCCCTGGATCCCTGTTGTTCCCAGGTGGGCTGTTGTTCTGTCTTGCTTTTCTTTGTTCTCTGTGGGTCAAGTTGTTTCCTTGATTAATCCCTATGTGAATACCTGGAATGTTTCAGTTGAAGGTGTTGTATCTGCTTGTCCCTTCCGTTCCTCTCCACTAGCGAGAACCACACACATTACTTGCTTCTGGTAGGCCATCTTGGCCACTCCCCATCCTTGTGCACGTTTACACTATAATACAATTGCATAGCAAAGTTACTGCACGTTTGGGAGTGGGGAAGAGGATAGAGGATGTTGGCTTGTTTTGTCAAGGGAGTGACATTCTTAAGTCTGTTTTGGTAGTGGGAAGAGATAGGAGCAAGAAAATCAGTTAGGAAATTATTGAAACAATTCAGCCCAGATAAAGAGCAGCATATCAAGAGCAGCTGTGTGACAATGCAGACAAGGGCACAGTTTCTAGAGACATTTCAGAGGTAAACATGGCAGGCCTGGTGGGAGGATGCGGAGATGAAAACCTTCAGTGTCTGGCAACTGAGGGGTTGGAAATACTCCAATCTGACAAAAGAGAACACTGGGATTGGAGGTTGGGCACCAAACTGGGAGAAAGATTTCAATATCTTGCAGAATATAGAGGGGTTGATGAGAATAACAGATGTAGAGCCCGGAGGAATTCCCAGGTAAAATAAAAGCCCCACAGAGATCAGAAGGGCAAATCCTCAAACTAGAATCACAGAACTGAAGATTTGGTTCTAGACTCTGCAGTAAGCTTTCCTAGGAAAAAAAAGATGGACCCACATCTTTTGAACTTAGACAGCCCCCAGGGAGGGGACACATGGCCCTCCTCAGTTTCTGCACATTCCAAATGAAAGGGTCTGGCTGTGTAGAATGAGAGATCTGGAGAGTCCTGGGTAAAATCTCAGACATAATTCATTCTCCTGAAAAACCAGCTTTTTGCTTACTGCCTTGAGGAAAGCTTGTTTATCTTTCTTTCTTCCTCTTGTTTCCCCCCTCAGTAGAATCCTATGAAAAGAAGTCTTTGGGGTATCACAATGTGTAAACCAGCTAAGAATGGCGCCACTGTCTTGTCCAAGGTCTGTGGACCTGGCCTCTCTCTTCTCCAACTCTACAACCAAAGATTTCCTCTAAGCAATTGTAAAAATGTGGGATGTCCTAATGCACATTCATTAAAATGAATGAAAATTAAATATAATATCAAAAGTCTAGGCCGGGCGCGGTGGCTCACGCCTGTAATCCCAGCACTTTGGGAGGCGGAGGCGGGTGAATCACGAGGTCCAGAGATCGAGACCACCCTGGCCAACATGGTGAAACCCCGTCTCTACTAAAAATACAAAAAATTAGCTGGGCACGGTGGCGCGTGCCTGTAATCCCAGCTACTCAGGAGGCTGAGGCAGGAGAATTGCCTGAACCCAGGAGGCAGAGGTTGCAGCAAGCCGAGATCACGCCATTGCACTCCAGCCTGGGTAACAAGAGCGAAACTCCGTCTCAAAAAAAAAGTCTAAGTGGATTCCCAGGACCCTTTCCAGGTCTCCCCTCTATGTTTCTCCTTGGGTGTATCTTAAACACAACATCTCACACATATTTTTAAAAGCGGAGGACAGTGGGCTGGGTGCAAACATCTTGCTAATGGCCTCCTGTTAGCATTTTGGAAAAAGAAACGTATTTGTCTTTCTGATTATAAAATAAGCAAAAACTCAACGTAAAGAATTTGGTAACCCCAGAGTATAAAATAAGAAAACAAATTGGTAACTCCGACCCCACCCCAGAAATTAAAATGACCATTCGCGGAGAATCCTTCTCGTCTCCTTACCGAGTCGGGTTTGGGACCCGAGCCTGAAGCTCCACAGCCCCGGGGCCAGCTCCTCCGGCAGCTGCTGGCTGGAGACCCGGGAAAGGGTGCTGAGGGGAAGGCGCCCACCGAGGGAAGGTCTCCGAGGAGACGGCCGGAGGCGGGGCTGCCCAAGGAGACTCCGCGGCCAAGGAAGGAGAAAGATCCCGGGAGCTGGAGGAGCCCCGCGGCGCGTGGAGTCTGCAGGTCCCCGAGCCCTTCCGGCCCGCAGGAGAGCTGGGTCTGGGCGCGCCACGCGGGCGGCGCCAGGGAGCGGCGGGCAGGCGCGGCCTAGTCAGTGCCTTGGCCAGAGACGCCCCGCGCCTCGCGACCACCGCAGAGGCCGTCGCCGCCGTCCCGCCGCCTCCACGCCCGGCTCCCGGCGCGGCGATGGGCGCGGCCCCGTCTCTGCCCGGGCCCGCCCCTTCCCGCCCTGCAAACCCGCGAGACGCCGGGGGACCTTGGGCGTCCTGCATACAGCAGCAGCTTTGGCGCTTCTCCGCGGTCCCACACCGATAAGGTGAGCACAGCGACCTGAAGGATGCACAAAACTTCAAATACTTAATTATTAAGTGAAAGTGGAAAGGGGGAGGGGCTTTCTCGCCTTTCCAGAATCTGGGCAGTTTCTTTGGAACCGGTGAAGAAACTCTTAGGAACTTGAGGTGAGCACGAGTCATTCATCAGGGACGCGAGTGGCAATTTCAGGGGAAGAGAGAGGAGAGCACTGTAATTTGGTGTAAAGACGGGGCGGTGGCTTTTCTGCTGAATAAGCGACCCGTTGTGCTGAAAATGAGAGATCCCGGAACAGTTTCCCACTGCCTGTAGACTTTCCAGAGTCTCCTTACCCTGAATCTGCTATGCAGGGCATGTTCACCCTCAGGGTGTAGAGTGCCGGGCACGATGGGCTCCTCCATGGGGATGGCAAAGTCCTGAAAAGGGACAATTTTATTACACCGCGTGTGTTGAACTGCCTTGCTTCTGGGCATGAGAATCACCTGGGAGCTGCAGCGTCCTTGTATATGGCAAGCAGTTGTTTCCAAGTTGGCTCTGTCAGAACTAGAGGCCTCTAGGTAGAACTCAAGGTATCCATGTGCTCGTGAAGAATACAAACCTTGAAGTTTTTAAAATCGAATTTTATTTACATCTCAGGATAGAAATCTGAGAGAGAAGTCATGGCATGGCATAACTTACCCCTTTGTTGGTTTTCTAGGTACATGTATGTTTGAATAAGAGGTAAATGATGTCCTAGCCTATCATGAAATGTCTTCCCTGGTGTAGTTCTTTAAACCCAGATATGGAGGATAACATTACCTTTTTGCATCCCTAGGTAAAAGGGAAAGATTTTCAGATGGGGGTTACACAGCTGGAAAAATTGTTGATATAGTTGTATTAGGCAGCAAGGCCTGCAAAGAAAAACGTGTTTTTCTCTACCAGTGGCTGAATTCTGCACAGTGTCTCCTCACAGTGTGGGTAGTAGCCCAGCTTGCAAAAACAGCGCTTCTTTCATTGGTGCAGGTGGAGCAAATGGGCCTGTGAATAAATGGCTAAGGAAGCACAGGTTAAGGCAATTTGAGTCTGGAGAATAAAGTGCTTTAGCAGGCTTTGCTTGAGTTAGGGGTCTGTTGGGTGGAATGGAGGTAGCTTTTTGGTCTCCATTTTTCCAACCTAATTCCTCTTCAAGGACACCACTGTCTCTGGAACGTTCCCTCTATTTCCCCTTCTCTTCCACTCCCAGCTTTTAGCTTCTTCCCATTCTCCAGTAAAATATAGAATTGAGCCTGGTCAGAGGCAAAGTTATGATAGCCTGGGGATATAGAATTTTAAGCATGGTGAAGGCAGAAATGTGATCTAGGAGAGACCCAGATGGGTGCGATGAAACAACTTTCAGCCTAGAAGGTTCTCAAAAGAGTGAAAAATAATGATTGAGGGAAACAGATTCTCTGGAAAGGACACTAAGTGCTTAGGTGTTTGTTTCCACTTGAGGGTTTTAATATTTCCATTTTTGTTGTTTAACCATAAGGGAATTTCCATATAGGGTAGGAGGAGGGGGCCCTCTGAAAACTGCCTCCTTCTCCCTGAATTTGCGTTTTATTCCATTCTCAAGTTGGTTTCAGAGATTAATTGGGGGAAGTGGGAGACAGAAAAGAAGCCAGAGGCTCTGACATGCTGCAGAAACAGTACAATGTGGACTGACTTGGGCTGCGAAAATGGATTTGGGGGTTGAAAGGAATATTCTATGTTTAGTTTAAAAAAAAGATCAGAGCCTTTGTTTTGCAGAAAGGTCTTGAGAATCAGAACATTCTTGTTTAGTTGCTGATGAATTTTGCCTAATAAGAATGCAAATCACTATTTCACCTTTCGCCTCCAGTACTTTATTATGAAACATTTTAGACATACAGAGATGTTATCTACCTCTCATTTTATAAACTTATCTTAAAACATAAACTTGTTAATAAAAATCAGTGTTTAGAATTCAGATGTATGTGATGTGGTCCTGGACAGAGCTTGAATCAGAAGGTCCTTCAGATATAGATGTGTGAAGGATATTAACATTTTAAGAAAAATATATGGATCTTATTTTTCTGACTTTTCCATAAGAATCTTGAGCAGACCTCTTAATTGCCTTCTTTTTCCCATTCTTAAAACGTCAATCAGTTGGATTATATCACTCCCCTGCTTAACACCCTCCAATGGCTTCCCCTCACTCTGTGGATAACCTTTAACTCTCCACCAGGGCTTACCAGCCCCATGTGATCTGGTCTGGTGACCTCATTCTATGCCTGTCCTCTTGCTCGCCATCGTCCTTGCTCTTCCCTCTGCCTGAACACTCTTCTTTCAGACACTGGCACTGCTTCTTTTCTCAGCTCATTCTGGTTTCTTTTCATATTACCCTCTGCAGTGATGGCCACCTGATCTAAAACCGCTTGTGGTCACCCCCTGTCCTCTGACCCTGCTTTATCCTTCATGGCACTTAGCACTCCATGACGCTATATAGTATATCTGTTTCCTTGTTAATTGGGCATATTCCCCACTCTAATATAAACTCCATCAAGACAAGGAATTTTTTTTGTCTTATTTATGGTTGTGTTCCTGTTTGGTGTATTATGAGCAATTAATAACTGTTGGATTCATTAGATAATTAAATTACACAAATAAAGCATTGACTCCCATAAGGGTGGCAGAACACTTGGTAAAGTACTAGAAGCCCTTTCAGGTAATTCATAATTCAAGTTAATCAATATTTTATAGGTAAATGATGACCCTAGAGATTAGCGGCCTCTTTTATCCATGCAGCACTTCTCAGCTGAATCCTATGATAATAGCTGGGCCAGTTTTGACAAACCCACATCCCAAACAAGATTTCAGTCACAGAACTTTTCCTTTGTCTCTTTCTAGTCACCCCCACCATACAGAAGCAGCAAATCTTGTTCTGATTTCTAATATCATAGATTAGTGTTGATAGTTCCTGAACTTCACAGAAGTGCAATTATTTAGTATGCATCTTTGTATTTGGCTTCTTTTTGCCCTACACAATGTCTGTGAGATTCATCTGTGCCATTGAGTATATCAGTAGTTCATTTCTTTCTATTCCAAGGTAGTATTCATTGTATGAATATGTGTTTATCCATTCTCTTGTTGGTAGACACTTTGGTTGGTGCCAGTTTGTGACTATTTTGAATAAAGCTGCTGTGAACCTATAAAGGATCTGCTTCACCTTGAGTCTTTTGTACTTTACATAAAAATCTTCCTTGTGCCACCAATACTGAGAGAAGTTTGGGAAGGTTATGGGGGCTGTAACTGATATAGCAGCCTGCATGCACCCCAGCCAGTGCTCTCTCTTGACAGCTCTGCTGGGAGCTGACCTGCTTCCCACTTTAGAGGGTCAGCACTTGGAAAATGAAAAATGAGTGTCTAACAAATTAGGGAGCCCTCCAGTGCACTCTTAGGTGCTTTACATCCTTGAAAGAGACACTGTAGAATGCCTGCTGCCATCGCTGTTGTATTTCCTTCCTCCTCTCAGCTTCCCCATCCCAGTACAAGTTCACTCTAATCAGCCTCTGAGTATTATGCTACTGAGGGGTTTAAACATTCATGAGCAACAGTCCTGTTCAGAGCCCAATAAAATATTTATGTATTTCCACAGGGCATTGGTTTCCATCTAAACTTCTCAAGGTGTTTTTCTGAGATGCATGTCATGATTGGGAAGAACTCAGGCAGTGATCGATGATATGGCCTGAGAACCCCCTGTGTTATTGAACTCCATCACACAGAGTACCTTGCTTTCTAGGGATGGAGAAGAATAAGCGCACAAAAAACTGACATTAATAATGTCTGGATCAGGAGAAAGACTATATGTACTGATAAAAATGGCTTGAGTAAAGAGGAGCCTGTTAATATAGTACCTACAAAGGTATGAATCCAGAGAGGAGGGCGAAAAGAACTTGTTAAAATGAGAGGAATGTTGGGTTGCCTTCATTCCAAATGGAAGAATGGGGGAATCAGCATTGTAAAAAGTGCTGTTTCTTTGACACTCATGTGTACGAGCCTCATATTAGACAACTGTGCTGACTGCTATAATTATCACAACCTGCTATGAGAGAATGAGAGTAGGAGTGGAAGCTAGGCAGGGTTTTCAGGTAGAAACAGAGAGCTATTCCAGGTGGAGTCAACATTTCCCTTCAAGGATGAAGTGGCTTTGAGTCAGGTTCTGAAGGAGGTGTGCCTCTTTTACTGGCAGCTACAGTGTGGAAGGGCCTTTCCAGAGAGTCAGAATAGCATAAATAGATATTTGAGTGAGGGCCGAAGTGCCGGTGTGGTGTGAGTAAGGAGAGAAGGTGGGTGAATGGGGGTCAGGGCAGGGTTGTAGCAAAAGATAAAGCAGGAGAGCCAAGGGGCAGCTTACGAGGCCACAGGAGTCTGGACTTTGGTCTGTTTGCTGGAGGGCTACATAATTTTCGACCAGAGATTGGGTTACATTTTGAGCAGTTCTTGGGAAGTATATCCACCCCAGGCAAGGTCTTTAGGTATGTTTATGTCCAAGGTACTTCCACAGTATTCTGCTGTGTTCAGTATGGTACAAAGACTCTATGCGGTCTACTCTAGGAGAGAGAAACTAGAGGAGGTTAGATTCACTCAGTATACTCCTAGGACTGACCAGAAACAGGCCTCACCAGCCACCTTCCTGCCCCCAGCACACATACACTCAGAATATTCTGAGTCAGACTGAATCCAAGCATCCTCTAGTCTCCTTCATGACCACTTTGCCTCAGCTGGGGTAGTTGCAAGGTTCTAAGTACTCCCTTATCATCTGAACCCAAATCTGGGCCAGTATACCTCAGACATGGGTTGCCAGGCAACTGAGGGCTAAATGATGAGGCTGGCCAATCATTTCCCCCAAAGCCCAGGCCTGCTTTGACCAGGCCATTGGGCTGTGACCAGAGAGGTAACTGGGGCAGTTGAGGTCATGCAGACTGATGACCTATAGACAAAACTGCCAGGCCCCTTCCTTGTGTCTTCTTCCTTTGGGTTGCAGATTCCCATTCAAAAATGCCTCAGGATGTTTATTTTTAACCCTTAATAAAAATAGTGAAGTAGAGAGGAGTGTTAAATATGTCAGTCATCTATACCTTATGTTGTCATTGGTAAGAAATAACTGTGGAAA